TAGTTTTTTTTGTTTTGTTTTAGTCAAGTTTAATTTTCTGCTCATATTTTGGACTCCATGTCCTACTTGAACAACAAATAGTCTATATACTTTAATTTATAGTTTTTATATTTTCTAATATTAATAATATTAGCAATATGTTTACTGTGATTTTGCGCTGCTTTGCCCTATTGCTGCTGTGTCAAAATGAATTTCTCCTTAGGGGGATAAATAAAGGAATTATCTTATCTTATCTTCTCTGCAGCTCCCACAGTGCAGGTGTATGAGAAAGCTGGGGTGGCTTTGACTCTAAGTTGTGAGAAACAGTCAGACTCGGGCCTGACAGTCACACTGACAGCCTCCAACTCCACTGACTCGGACATCAGCAGCTTCACCCTGCAGGCTGCAGTGCCCAAGGTTTGTCTGATAAAGCACGCTATCCCCACACACACTCACCAGCAAACAAGCTTTCTCTGTTGATTTTTGGCTGCCCAGGTGCACTAAACAAAGTTCAGCACTTTGTACATTTCCAGTGCTGTATCACATACACAGATACACCTACTGTCTCTCTACATGTGAGCAGTCTGTGTTGCTAGCAGGGTGTCAGTTTTAGAGTCTGTCATGTTCTCAGTGGCAGGCATCAGTGCAATAAATGGAGGCGTGTTTGGGGCTTAAAACTTTAAAGTTCCATTTGATCTTCCCCCAGAGTGTCCAGTTACACATGAAGGCCCCCAGTGGGGACTCTCTTCCTGCACGAGGCGCAGCGAAGGTGACCCAGATGGTAGTCCTCAACAACCCAAACAAGGTGGGTTTGACACACACACACCCACAAAGCTGTGATTCACAAAGTCATGTCAGTCAGGATCAGTGATCCATACATCTTTATGAGCAAAGGAGAAAACCAACCCCCTGCAAATCAAACTTTCTGTTGTAAAAGTTTAATCTGTTTGAAAATACATTATAATTAATCTTCACACCTTATCTCCACATTTTCACACAACCCCCACAAACCTGTTGTTGTATTCAGCAAGAACAATACATCATTGCCAAGTGTGCGTCGTGTGCCAGGTCCAAATCTTGTTCTGTTACTCCTGTCCCAGTTGAAGCAGAGCCAATTCTAGCTGCTTCACACAATCTAAATCCTTCTTCCGCCTCCAGGTGAATCTGAAGATGAGAATCCGCATATCTTACAGCAGCCAAGGATCAGCCTTTCAGGATACAGTCCAGATCGACTCTTTCCCTGGGCTCAGTGCTGCCGGCCACTGACGGCAGCCATTCGGTTCGACAGGACTATGACAGCACTGTGTGGATGAGTCAGCAGGCATTGCCCTTTGCTGACGGAAGGTTTTTTTCTGCCGTCACACCCTCTACACTACAGTCAAAACTGCTGTCTCTTAAATTCCTGATTTTGTTGGTTGTTTTTATGGCTGAAGAACACTGTTCTTTCACAGGAAACTACGGCCTCATACATGAGCTCACATAGTTTCCCACTTCTCTGGAGTCCATGTGTAAATGTGACTGATGGCACAAGCTTTTGGAATATTAGTTGTTTCTCTGGGGTTTTTGCAATGACAACTGTCCGTAATAACTTTGTACCATTCAGGTTTTAAAGCTACTAAAGCTCATTGTAGTTGTTTCACTCCATAAATATTTATTCATGTGGCTCGTGTCAGTCAGTATGAGCCACTAAATCAACTGTCCTCACATGGCACTCTCATGTGTACTCCCTTTGAAGTGATTTCCTTTATGAAACATTTGCCTTTAGCATCTTCACTTTGTTGAAAAGCAGCTAAATACTTACTAATAATCCACTATTATGAAATGCTCTAATCCAGTATATTTGACTTTACTGGGTAACAGAAGGACATTATTCAAGGGTTCAGGATTTTAAAGACAACCTCGTGTTGCATTCACTGGTCTTCTGTTGCTCCTATTTCTCATGCCTCATTCAGCTGAACTGAATATCCACCTCCTAATTAATTCCCCTGTGCCTTTCATCCCTTCAAGAACCCTCTTACAAAAAAATATTTAGTTTTGGAGGCCAAGAAATAGTTTTAAATGTCAGTGATGTATAAATATGAACAGATTTTTATCTCTCTCACTCAAGCAACACTTTTCCTGATCCGTATCTCCTTGCCTGTTTACAGAGGCTCCCGAGTTATTTTATTTTCTGAAGACTGTATACTGATACAAGAAGAACAATGGACATCATACTGTCTGCAAGATGTATATTTTACATATTAAGTATATGAGCACAATTACAAGTGTTTAAAGTCTTTGGAATCTCTAATACAACCCTTTGTTGTAGAAGGACAGAAAAGTAAACACGTGCATCAGCTTAATTTGATAACTCATCTCACAATCATGGACCTCTAATAAAAACTGGATACTGGATGTCAGCAATGGTGCTCTCAGTGGATTTCAGTGCAATCTCTACCAGACTGTTTCAGATCACTACCTTAACTAAACTGTAAAGAGAAGACCAGGATGAGTATTTTGAGTTGCATAAACTGTCTTTAAATCTTCTGTTTCATGTCATTTTCTAATAAAAAAAAATCAGTTTTCAGAATCATTAGCAATGACTTGGTGTCTGTGCTCAGGTGTGTGTGTGTGTGTGTGTGTGTTAGAGGACAACGCTTACATCAACTTCAGCATTTATTCACAAGCAAAAAGACCACAGTGTTCTCAAACTGTCTTCTGTACTGCATGGGTGCCTGCATCAACTGGTCAAACTCAGAAAGCCAATGTGGGTTTACAAAAAAAACACCTATAAAGGAATTAGAACGTCCTTTTTCTTTTCTTTTCGTTGCTGTTGTTGGTTTTTTTTTTTTTTTTTGTTTGCGTCGGCCCGGGAGTGTGGGATTTCAGATCTCTGTGCTGTAACATGGTTGGACTGTGACAGACACCTAAAGCGTTGGCACTCGACTGGCCCCATCACAACAGCGACTCATGACGAGGAGGAGAGGTGTATGCAGGGCCTGTAGACCGTCGAACCGCCTCTTAGCGCCAACACAAGATGGAGCACTGAGCCTCCCTGGATCTTGTAGTCTGCAGCTGTCTTCTCATCGTTCCTGGGAGCAAAAGAGGAAAGTTCAGAGAGGACTTGAGGAAGAGGAAGAGCATTTTGCAGCTTGCAAACGCTAGCAACAGAGCAAGATGATTCACAATGGAGGAACTCACATCTGTTTTCCACTGTAGATAAGTCTTTGTTGCTGCGGGGGGATCCCTTCCTTCTCTTCCACCCTCTCTTTAATTCGCTCCACCTTTGTTTCCACAAAAACGACACATTTAGAAATGATACAGAGTCTTGACAGTAAACAGTACACAGCACAGTATCTTACAGTCAGTTATATTTCACCTTGTCTGTGGGCTCAATGTCGATCTCTATTTCTTTTCCAGTGAGAGTCTGAAACATAATGTTAACAGGATGGCATTAACACCAGCATTGGTTTCTGAACTGACACACAGTCTGCAACAGAACTTTCCAAATCAGCACAGGACAGAATTCACAGAAACAAGACTTATCCCTTTTCACAGCAGTCTAAAAATGTGACACTAAATTCAGTGACCCATCAGATTTTGGGACCTAATTGGGAATTTCAGGAAGTGTTTTCAGCATGGCCACACATTGGTAGTAGTTGGCTAAAAGGATGCCATCAGGGATATTTACATTAGAGATCACTGCGATAGCTAGAGTTGCAATTATTTCCATTATAGAGTAAATCTTTTTTTTTTTTACTAATATATTGTTAGTCTATAAAACACTAAATAATGAAAAAGAGCCACAATTCACTAGAGCCCAAACTTCCGTCCTCGTCTGATCAGATAGTTCAAACTCAGAGATATTCAGTTTACAACTGTATAAAACACACAAAGGAACCAGATATAAGCCAATATATGGCATATATTTGCCTGATAATCGCCCAAAACCAGTGATCCATTATGTCCGACCACTAGCTGAATGGTCCAGCAGTGCTATCTGTGGTCTGTCGCCGCACAGAGGGTCTCAGGGGTCGCAGATGTTGCTGTAGCTCCGGTCAGGGAGTTGGCTAACCTGCTTTGCTGTTTACACTCCAGTTAGCAAGCTATCAAATAACAGCTACTGTCTGGCGACTAAAGCAGCATTTTAACAGCTCAATGGCAGCTCCTCTTAATATTGAGCCAACCCGGACAGAAAGCAGAAATGTTTAAGCACAGAATGACATATAGGGAAGTTAGAATAGAACAAGTCCCCGCCGCCCGCCGCCCCCGGCCCATAAATAAATCTAGCGAACCGGTGAGTGATGTTAGCGGGCTACCCGACAACAGCGGCTACGAGCCGGAAGAGTACGAACACAATGCTCTTACCTTTACTTTGATCAGCATGTTGAATACACTATAGACTACAAGTCGAAATGAAACTGTTTACTGATCAAAACACTTGGTACACTAGCGAATTACAACCTTACTTGTCTGGCTGACTTGAAATCACTTCCTGTGTACAACGCTAAGTGCTCCGGACGGGACGGCGTACAGACGCACGGAAGAGTGGTTCCGCTCTGGTGAAACACTGAACAGCTCTATGGAAACTCTCAGCAGCTTTCTTATGGACACAAACAAACATTTCCATCCTTCACTTAGGAAAAACTAGAAATATAACGTTGTAAGAACGCCCCACTGCAATTAAAAGTAAAAATTTACTAAAGTGAAAATATTATTATAAGGTATATATTTATTATAGTATTAAGTATTATCAGCAAAATAAGTCTTTCAGAGTGCTATTACATTATTGTATCATTTACTGATGCAGTTACATGTAAGCTTCTGCAGCTGAGCCAAGTGGAGCTAATTTTACCTATTTGCCTTACTGTTCAGTAGTTTAATCTCTAATCATTGTATTTTTTCATAAACTGATCAGGTTTTGTCAGCAATCACCTTTAAAGTAATGAATAACTAGTTATGAAATAAATGCAGCAGAGTAAAAAGTACAGCATTTGCCAGCATTTGAAATGTAGTAAAGTTGAGGCCTAAAGTATGGGAAAGTAAAATCAAAGCACAAATAAATACACTTTAGTACAGTACTTGACTAAATGTACTTAGTTAGGTTCCCTCTGCATTTGGAAACTGTCAAAATGAATACCACACAATATATATGAAACTGTGAGAGTGCACAATAACAGCCCAGCTGAAGTAGAAACTAACCCAATGCTGTCCTGCTCCCACACACCTGTTAATCATTCAGCTGATTCCGCAGGAAGTCTACAAATTTTGTCAGCACCAACATGATGTGATCATTCAGTCATGGGGACTCAGCTTTACCTATGTGTGATAATCATTGCTGTTTATGCAGTAGCTCTTGCCAATGCAGGTACTCTTTGCATATGCGTGTAGAAATGTGTGTACGTTTTTACAACCTTTCATGTACAGAAACTGGAAACCTCTGAATCCTCATTATCTGCTTGCAGAGATCCAAGTAGTCTGTGCAAAAGACTCGGTAGAAATCACCTGGAAGATCAGTGCCGAGTTGGTGCCACACGCAGGTCGTCTCTTCCTGGGAAGCTGCATGCCATCTAAGTTGAATGTTTTGCCCACCGGAGAGGGAGAAGTGCTCTTTAACTACAAATTCCCTGAATGCAAATTTAAAAGACTGGTAATGTAAATGCTATATTTGACTAAAACACCATGCAGCCTCTGACGTGTCTTTAATAACCTGTTATTTTACAGATGAAAGGAAAACGTCTCTCCTATAAAAATGAGCTGACTTACAGGCCGCAGCCAAAGTCCAAACCTGCAGCCTTTGTGTATCCTATTGAGTGTGTTTATAAAAGGTAAGAGTATCTATCTGAGCTTGGCTCTTAATACAACCCAACAGATGGTCACGTAATCTATTTTAACCCCTCTGCGCTGGCTTCCTGTTAATTTTAGAATTGATTTTAAAATGTGGTGCTCTCCTAAAAATCTGTTTAGACACACATGTAGTTCTTTGTTTTATCCTGTGTCCTACGTCTTTTCACTTTTATTTAATTTATGGTTTTTATATTTGATTCCATTGGCTTTTATTTGTATCTAATTGACTGTGAAGCACTCTGTGACTGGTGTCAGTGAAAGCTGCTGTAGGAAGAAACACTTCTAGCTTGCTGAATGAAATTCCAGTTTAAAAGCTGAAATGTGAGGTGAGCTGAGCTATTACATTTCAGACCTGAGGGGTGGATTCCCCCTTTCCTGAACCCTGGATCAGGTACTTCTGAAGGTCGAGGAGGGCTGGTCTTCCACATGGCACTCCTCAATGGTGAGTTCTCACATTACTAAATAAATGCAACATGAGGATACTCAAAGACCCACCCTAAGCTATTTTTATTTCCCCCCACAGAGCAATTAACAAATGTAGCAAAGACAAATGTCATCCCCCTGGGCTCGTTCATGCCAATATGGGCGTCAGTGGAGCAGAAGTCTCATCAACCCTTGCTGCTGCTCATGGAGGAATGTGTGGCAGCCAGTACACCAGAGCTGCAGCCTAGCAGCCAGGTTTACCCCATCATCAGCAATAAGGGGTAGGATTCAACCTTGGGTAAGTTTCAATGGTGGTTCCAGAATAGATGGTGCTAATCTGAGATTTAAATTTCTTCAGGTGTCTTTTGGAAAGCATGGTGGGAAACTCTGTGTTCCTCCCTCGGTACCACTCGTCTGCAGTCATCCTTTACCTGCAGTCCTTCAAGTTCGGTCCTGGAGAGGTGAGTGTGTAAATGTAACTGCTATAGGGGAATATTTTGTACATGACAAACTTTGACTGCCTGTTCTGTCCTCTACAGTTGTACATTCACTGTAAGCTGGTTGCATGGGATCCTGCAGTTGTTGACAAAACCAAGAAAGCCTGCAATTATGTAAAGGAACATGGGAGGTAATCATGCATAGCTTGACACCTTGGAAAATGTTTTCACTGAATAAATTAAACACAAAATAAATGTAAAAAGTTGTGGCATTTAACAAGTTGTTTTGTGACTGCTGAGCCAATGGCATATTTGAAAAAGGCTAGCATCCAGTCTTATTGCTTATCTAAGCTAATTGCCACACAGCTATACTCCAAACTTAACATCCATGCACTTAATTTTAGATGGAAGTATTGTTATACTCAGCATTTATCTGGTAACTTACTGCTTGCTCAAGGTTTTATTCAAAGACACTGAAGATTAAACTCAACTGTTTGTGTTTAAAACCCCAGCATAATCAGAACAATAGTTAATCTCTTTAGTTTAAATATTGGGTTTGTAATGGAACAATAATTCCACTATGTAAAAGTATTTTGTCAAAACTTCTTTCTCAGATGGGAACTACTCGATGACCCCTCTCAGAGCGCTGTCTGTAGCTGCTGTGATTCAACCTGCACGTCCCGCTCCAAAAGAGGAGTGGAATGGGGTATTGCACTTCTGCCATCTGGGGTTTTGTTCTGTTTGTTTTTTCTCAATTAACTTTTTTATTTTTTCTTTTCTTTTTGTCAGAATCCCACAGCTTCAGTCACAAATCTGTGTTAGGACCCCTGATCATCGTGGATCCATCTGACTCAAAGTCTCACAGCAAATCAGAGGTGTCTGTCACTGCTGCTGACTCTCAGGTGAAATGAATAAGTCATTGAGCCTTGTACTGAGACTGGACTAAAGTTCTGAACTTGTTCACAGGAAAGCCCCAGCGTTAGCTGATGGAGACGAGGAGGAGCAGCATGATCTCAGCCTCCTGACTGACAAGATGTTGGGACACCAGCTTTGCATCACTTCAACTTTAAATTGTCTGCAGACTAATTTAACCGACTGTACAATAAAACCTTGTGTAAATGCCTGACATTCTACTTTTATTGCATTTGATATCAAGGCACAAAACCGCAGCCAATAGCACTCAATGAAACTCCCCATAAAGTGATCACAACTCAGGGAATGAGCTGAAATCCATGATTTTTTATATATATAATAATGTGTTGCATACACTGTCTGTCTAACCTACTACATTATTGCTGGTTGTCCATGAGTTTAGTGGGCCATGTTTGTCACTAGTCTTTCAAGTTAATAGTAACCCATAAACTTGTAAGAATTTGGCTTTGTAATTAAAGGACCAGCTGAGCTATTTCTCCATGAGACTGTCTCATTTATGATAAATTATATGGCATTCAGGTCCTCAGAACCAATTTATGGGAGAAATTTTCCTCAAGCACTAGCATCGAGCCATGACATGGGTACTTGAATTCTGCTCTTACTGATAATACACTGAGGCAGCATATGCAAGTTGTCCAACTCTATGAAAACTGTCAGCCTGTATGTGAGGTCTTTTGTCAAACGTGTCATTAAAAAGAAAAGTGAAAAATGCCTAAACAATATTACAAATATTTAGTGATTTTTCACACCATATGCAAACCTGTAAAACGTCATTACTTAGACAATGAGTATGGGCTTGCTATGGTCATACAGTTGGCTGACATATGATTATGTCATGGACCATAAGTGACTACAAGATCTTTATTGTTGAATCTGGGCCACGTGTAATTGGACTGTGTGGGCCATTACTGGGCCAGACCAATTTTACATATATGTGGATTCTGACTGAAGAACAACGTTTGGGACAGTTTTGCCTGCAGTTGATTATTGTATTGGGTTTTCTTACTTTCTGACCATAAATCTAAAATCAATGGACATGCATAGGCAAGTGTTTCAGCAGGGTTCTTAGCCCATATTTTACTGCCTGCAGTATGGTTACAATTATAGCGATAGATTGTTTGGTTACCTTGTTTCCTCACCCTGAGCATGCATATCATAATATATCATAAAATGTGTTACTTCACGATGTCCTTTCATGACAATTATGAGCAAATAAAATGCTCAATCTACACCATATCAAAATGAAATGAGTCTAGTAAAAGGATGATGTAATACGTCTCTTTCCCAGCTTGTTGTAATCAGGCTGATGGCTGCTGCACCTGAGACTGCTGACACACACCAGGTGAAAGAGGTTCTCTTGATTGATGCCTCTCAGTCAGGAATAAAACCACCCACAGTGTCAGGAGTAAGTGTTCAGTCATGATGGCTTTCTTTTGTCAACGGGCACTGCTTCTGAGCCTGGCAGCAGCTGTGTCAGTGTACGCAGGTAACATTGCAGCAGTTCATCATCTTTAACTCTATTTATGTGTGGAAACTTGAGTTCTTTGTGTTGTGTTCCTCACAGACATGAAACTAGACTGCAGACCTGATTTGGTGACTCTGGTGTGGACTGAGAGCAGATCCCAGGCTGACACTTCACTCCTTCGTCTGGGTGACTGTTTCCCCACCAGCCTTTCAGCCAGGGAGGCCGTTTTCAGCGTCGGTGTCAATGATTGTAATTTCAGGAGACTGGTGAGTGGCACACTTCCACCTGCAAACTGTGAGTCGACTGTATTTTCTGCAGCTTAGTGGCATTTTGTCTCTCTTGTAGGTTACTGGGGATCAGCTAATGTACACAAATGATCTGACCTACGTTTCCCCTCCTGGTTCTCACATTCTCCCCTTCACTCACCCAGTTGTCTGTGCATATGAAAGGTGGGTGTGTACAACTCATTATTTTATTTATTTTTAAGTTGTGTTGGGTAAAAATGAGCAAAAGCATCTTGCTGTTGGAGTTCTACAGATGCATGTATTAATGTGAGCAGTTGCTGTACTTGCTCTGCTTTATTTCATGCAGGCCCAAAGACTGGTACCCTCTGGTGTATAACCCGGTGTTTCATACATATGGTCAAGGAGATCTAGTGTTCCACATCGGACTTATGAATGGTGGGTGTAAAATGTCATCTCACTGGAAACATCAGAATTCTCTGACTCCTGTAGCTTAATGATTCTTTATCTCCTCCTTTTAGATGACTTCTCAGGCCCTGCTGAATCTACCAGTTTTCCTCTCGGCTCCTTTATCCCCATCATGGTTAGTGTGGTGCAGAAGTCCCATCAGCCCTTGCTGCTGCTTCTTGAGGAATGTGTAGCGGCTACCACACCGGAGCTGTTGCCTGAAAGCAGTATATACCCGATAATCGCCAATAAGGGGTATTCTTTGTACACTGGTGATTGATTCTTAGAACGTTTTGGTCCAGACATCGCAGGTAAACCAGAAATGTGTGTTCTTTAACCAAACAGATGTCTGGTGGACAGTAAGGTATCTCGCTCAAAATTTGAACCAAGGCAGAAATCATCAGAGATCCATCTATCCCTTCAAGCCTTTAGGTTTGGTCTCGGAGAAGAGGTAAACTAGCCTCATCCAATCAATGTTGCATGCTAATTTTTAGATGCAGGGTTTTATATTGGGACTATGATCTGTGTATACTGGAAACCTTTATGCTTTGTTACCCCACTACAGGTGTTTATTCACTGCAAACTTGTGGCTTGGGATCCCATTGGTCTTGACAACACCAACAAGGCCTGCCACTATAACAAAGAGCATGGGTAAAAGTCACTTTATAAACAGCATCAGTATATTATAATTTGGTAGTTTTTGCCCAGTGTGCTGTCAGTTAAATGTCAACTAAACACTGCGCTTTAACCATTTGCATCAAGTTGGACTCAGGCTTCGTATATCAGTGGTTCCCAAGCTTTTTTTCCCCTTTTTTCTATCGGAGTAAATTGATGACCCCTGACTAATGACACTATAGCTATTTCATTAAATTCAATGTAGAACAATAACTGTACAAAAATGTAAACTGTACAATAACTCGTATGAATGCAATAAGAGCTTCCTATTCATGTAGAGGAAGCCTTATAACCCCCAGTTGGTGGTAGGTCTGTGATTAATCTCAAAGATTCTCTTCAATCTTCATGAACTCAGCTGGGAGCTGCTGGACAACTCTGGATATAGTAATCTTTGTGACTGCTGTGAGTCCAGCTGCAAGTCCAGGAGGATGAGGAGTATAACATCAGGTATTTGCACAACTTCGGCTGTATCAAGCTGGTCTCATTGTACAGTACTAAAACTGGATTTGTTTTTTTGTCTTGCAGGGAAACATGGAATAGTACAAAACGCAGTTCTTGGGCCACTTACTGTCACTGATGTGCTTTCCTGAAGTTCCCCTACCAAGTAATCATGTTTTAAGTTTACATTGCCCTATATATTTTATTATATTTATCTTTAACGACTAATAATGCATGTTTTTTTTTCTCCCAGCAGGAATGGATCTCTTATAGACTGGTTCCTTCAATCTGAATTGGGTTTTTATTCTTGCTTTCACAAGCTTCTAAAAGCTTTACATTTCAGATCGTAACATGGCCATTAAAGATCTATCCAAAACACTTGAATGCTCTCAGTTGAACATGATTTTTGATTGTAACAGTCTTGACATGAGTGTGTTGAATTATGGTTCTAGTGTGACTCTTAACTAAAATTTTATTCCAGAGATACACATGTGGTCATATACAAGAAGGAATTAATGGTGGGTTTTATTATGTGCTCTTCATGTAGATCTATTTTAATGCAAGCATAATTTTTATTCCCAAGGTAACAAATGATCATCAGTTTCTCTCAACCTTTGTGGATATTTGGGTGAAGGGTTGAGGTTTGAACATCCCTAATGGTCTCTGTCAGGGCGAAATATAGACAGCATGTTATACTTTATACTTGCAGATCTCTCACGCCTAACTCAGTTTTGCTAGGAAGCATTTGAGTCATGTTTTATCTGAAATCAAACACAGCAGTCCTTGACCTCTGTGTAAAGTATCATGAGGTAAAGGAAAGATTGGGTTTTCTGTCCAACTCAGAATTACATCTCCAATAAACAGAATTAAAATAAGGATGAGGAATTAAAATCATGAATAATGGTTAATAACACTTTCTGCATCAGATTGTGCCGGTAGGGTTGGTGGTTCAACCCTACCAGCTCCCCCGTCCATGTATAGTAGTTTCCTGGAGCAGGACACTGAAACCCAGGTACCCCTGGGTGCACAGAGGACACATTTAATTTCCATCTATGCAAATGTATTAAATGATAAAGGCTGTATCCCTGCACTTTTTAAAAGGGGAGAGAGACACTCACTCTTAAAAAAAAAAAAAAAAAAAAAAAAACCCTTTCAAGAGATGGATACAAGAGGTGTTGTCCTTGCTCCAGCTTGAGGAAATAAGCCATACTGAGTCCAATGAAAAGTTTAAGATGGTTTCCATTTATTGAATAAAAACGAAATATGATGCCACCTAATTTGCGTTGTCCTATTGGCTTATTATAACCTAACTCTTTATACATTGGAGCACCCACATTTAATTTCATAATATATTTACTTTCTCTACTATATTTTTTATTTTTACTTTGTTTGGTAATTTATTTAATTTTATTGTCTTTTTTGTACTGAGTGAAGTCCCAGGGTAGTTATGGATACAGGGTGGGTCTAATGTGTGATGTTTATGTGAGTTCAGTATATTTGTACAGGTGAGTGTATGTCTCCATAAATGCAAAACGTAAAGTAAGTTTAAAAAATAAAATAAAACACATCTTGAATGAAATAAAAAAAACTACTAAAATTTCTTTAAATTAATTTTTGGTTAATTTGGACCTTACCATTTCAAACAAATTAATCAAATAGCTGGCATATTTATATGATGTAATTGACGTTAAAATCTCCCACCTTTCTTATATTAATATTTGAACCATTAACAGTCTACACTGAGATATGAGGTCTTATACGTCACTCAGCCAATCAGAAGAGAGCAGGACTCGCGCGGAGGCGGGACTGACGAGCCGAGTGAAATAATACTGAGTACATGATACTAAACTTACTACTTCTGAGCATGGCAACAGGTAATGTTAGCAAGGAAGCAAACAACAGAGCACAGACACTTTATGAAAGTTTATTAGTCAGTAAATTGCCCTCTGTTTGTCAGTATCCAGCCTTAGAGAACAAGTTCACACTATTTAAGCTAGTTACCTAGCTATCGAGCTAGCAAGCAAACCCTTTGGTGGCCAGTATTGAAACCTGTTAGCATAGTGGATGAGTAACTTTGTCTTAACCATAAACTGCTGTACCTAACTGTACTGTGTGTGTGTGTGTGTGTGTGTGTGTGGAGTTGGCAGTGTCCTGGATAATGCAGAATTATCTAATCCTAAAACGACAGAGCTATGTTTGTGTGTAACAAAGTAAGTGTGGATGTGATAACTTTACTTTGCCTGGCTTATGGGCAAAGGCATTCAGTAGTAAGCCCAAATGTCATAAGAAGCTTAATATTAAAAGTTATCTAACGTTACATACATGTTGGAAGAGGGCGGCTGCTGGGTGGTGGGTCCCCAGGAGGACCCGGGTTGAGGAACGCTAGACTTAAAGATCACAGTAGGCTTTAACATTGAGGTTTTGCATAATTTGTTCTAAGGGACCAAGCCCAAACCAGGAAAACAACCCGATAATAGCCAATAAAAGCTGACAATACGGTAGTATGTGGCCTGGGGTTTCCACATACTTATGGTCAAATACTGTAATATTCAATGTTACATAAGCACATTTGTGTATTGTGATCTTGTGTTTGTTTGCAGAGGGGGGAAACCCACAGGACTGAAAATGGACTGGTTCCACTGTAATCAGTGTTTCACAAGGAGGGGGTCGAAATTTGCTGTGTCCAGCTGTGGCCACATCTGCTGTGAAGCATGCATTAAATCTAGTAAGGGTTCTATACTATTTGCTATATAAGTTAATTTGCTTCCACTTGTTGACTATGAGTATTCAACATCATGTCTCAGCCATTGTATGCCTCTTGTGTCTTTTTCCATAGAGCAGTGCAGCGTGTGTGGGGCCAGCTGCAGTTATCTGCCCATCACAGATGAGGTGGGTGAGTTTCACATCTTCACCACAGGTTGCTGTCTGGTGCCACCAACATAGAATGACCATATTTAACATTGTATTGTATCTGCACAAATGTTCTATTTCAGATGAAGCCACATGAAAAGGTGTTTTTCAAGGACCCTGTGAAGCTCATCCAATCACGGCTGGAGCACATTTCTCAGGTCTGTCTCCTGTGTACAGGGTTCCCCCCAAGCTCCTTTGCTGCTGCCCCTTTTAATTGCTATACTAGGATGTTAAATGTCAGAGCTGTCAGTCAATCATTAACCAGTCAGTGAGTTATTTAACAAGAGACTGCTTCAGTTAGAGTGATACTTGACGAGAATAAAAGTATTTTAAGATCCTTGTATGATCATTTGGGAATCCTTGGGGCCACAATCCAAAAGCCAGAGATGATTTACATAGTAAATTGTACATTACATTGTTATATTTTCACTGAGAGAATATTTGATTTGCTCCACAGATTGCGCTTTTTCAGCGGACACAAATGGAGAAAGTCACGGCTCACTTCAAGCATAAGTCTGTTGAACTGGAAAGGCGCCTGAAGGAAGTCACTGAGCAAGCTTACAGGTGATTTTAATATCTTATTATTCTTCTGTGGCTGTGAAAATAAAACCCAGATTGCAACGCTATTCTTCCCACGTCTGTAATCGCAAGGCAACTCTCCGAGCTGAAAAGAGAGAATGGTGACTTAAAAAAGAAGCTTTCAGAGCTGAAATGGGAGACTGCTGAACTGAAAAAGCCACTTTCTCAGAGGAGGGTAAGTGTTCCAAAAGTCTAATAAAAAAAAAGTGAATGTTGCCAAGAAAGCCAGTATTCAGGTAATAAGTTACTAATCTAATTTATCGTGCACACTTTCTGCCACAGGTTTCTCCAGGACAGTTTCAAATAGATGGGTAAAACCAATTTATATTTCAGCATTATCATGTTTAATTGAACACATTTGAACAAACTTTCTTGTATTAAAGTTTTTTAATAATAACTTTATATCTCATAAATAGTACTCAAAGGATGTCACTCCCTGTGGCTGTCACCTCCCCAGGTAAACCCAGTGATTTAAGTTGAATTGTTAGTTCATATTTTTTAGTGTTGGTAGTGCATTTAAAATGTTTTGATTCAAGCTGATGAGGAGTGTGTGCACGTTTTCTTTTACCAGTCACCCCTCGTTCAAGAACCATGAGGTAGGAGGTCAGGCTCTAGTGGATTTCATGCTTTTTCACTTCTTCATTATATCTATACTTTATAAAAAGATGGCAAAATATTGTAGGCCTGAACATGTTGTCTTGGTTTTAGTCAAAAGGGCTCAGCAGAGCTGCAGGGGTGGGCCAGAGACAGAGGTCCCAGTCTGTCCTCCCTCAGAGTAAGTCTTGGAGTTATAATGGCTCCGTGTAATATGTTACAAACCTGCTGTACATTCATGTTGTCATGTCAGAAACAAAAGTATTTACTAAGAAACCCTCATTTGCAATTATTAAACGTACAGTTTATATACAACATTTTATAGAGCAAATTTGGTTTTACATAAAATAAAGGAAATACTTTGTTTTTGTCAGACTCCAGGATCAGCAACCTCCAATTCTACCCACAGCTCTCTTCATGAACATGTACACAGTAAGTGTGGCTGTAGCTCTACCGTAGGTTCCATGATTTTACAGGATACACCATTTAATCAACTCACAAATTAAACGCATTCTATCTTTAATCAAAATCCTTTCACTCCTCTGTATTAAAAAGGCACACCCACATCCTTTAGCACTCCTACAAGGTAAGAAATGCTTTCCAAATAACTTCTGCCATGAAAACATTGTATTACATTTCGAAATGTTCTTAATGGGAAGATTTTCTCATGAGATTGCTAAGTCAGTGCATTTTTGTCATCCTCAGAACTCAGCGTCAGACTCCTAATGTTTTCCAGTTCCAGTTTATGAGTGGATTATCAATACACTCACCCAGGCGTTAATGAAATGGCCCCCTGGGGATATTTTTGTCAGTTAAGTTCATCAGGACTGTCACGTCTTTGTTGGGTGATACAAATTGTTTTCTGCCCAGAAACAGCAATGACTATGTGTCTTGTACGTTGTTGAGCATAGGTACTTAATAATTGTTACGTTTATGTGAATGTTGTACCATATGTTTCTCTGTTTAGGACTTAACCTGCTACATTATCTTACTGGTCATTGGTTGACTCGTTTTTTCTGGCAGCACAATTATTAGCAGCAATATATATCAGAACCATTTCTGCAGATTAATTACACAGCCACTTGCTTTTTGCTCACAACACAGAATTTACATTGATGAAAAAATAAATTTCAAAATCAGTATCAGTTTGAGTCATTACAGCACACACAAAAAAACATTGCTTGCACACATGATTATAAAGGCAAATCCTTTACTGGTTTCCGGTGACACAATTGTGCAAATGAGAACAGGATAAAAATACATTGAAAACATCTGCAAAGGAAGACACTAATTGTTATGGACATTTCCTCACAGCATGACACTTACTAATAGAATGACAAAACACAGTGATGCACACTGCTTTACCAACAATCTGGTCATTAACTTCTGTCCAGACATTTCTAATGATCTAAACTCTGGCTTCATGTAAGCCACTTCACCCCTGTTGGTCAACTAAGAAGAACTATAGAGTATGGAGTTTTTTTTTTTCTCAACTGATGGATGTATAATGTTTGTGCTAAAATTGATAATCCGATTGAACACGAAACAGATTTTTTTCTCTTTGGATGCAAACCCTTTGTTACTTATGCACTACATGGACCCCCATCAGTTATCTTATCTACTTTGTCTATATTATAAACCATCAAGTCACACCCTACACCTACTAAGACAAAAGAGATGTAAAAATACTGACTGAATCAATGAGTGCAAATCAAAACTGAAGTTGGCAATTCTGACATCTGTATGATGTCAATGTGATTGCTGCTTTCTTAGTTCTGTTAGCCTTTACTGCTAAAAAGGTGCAAATAAAGGCAAATGACAAGCAAAGTATTCAAATAGTAAATCAAGTATTACAGCAGAGCATCGAAAAGGAAATGTTTTACAGAAATGTGCTGTAGACAGTAGTAGAATTAGATGCATCATGCAGTTTTCAAAAGGCATGATTATTGGTTTCAGTGTTAAGGGATCAAGAATGACACTGTTTAGTTAGCAACTCATCTTCTGTCAAAGAATTGGATTTAATGAACATAATGGCAGCAGGCTCTAAAACCAAAGTGCAAGATGTCAATTTAAAGTGTACATGTCCAGTGTGCTTTTCATGACAAGGAATTATTATTGGCTGTAAAGGAATGATTACACACAGTGATCAGTCAACAAATTCATCAACAGAGATCTTTTTCTGGAGCAGTTAGTTATCTGCCTGCTTACAGTCAGGTACCAAAAGTACAACCAGTTTAAATTATACTGCTACAATAGCATACTAAAATATATGTAGTAATGATATCTAAACAAAAATAAGCTAAAAAAAATATAGCAAACCAGTGTATGAGTTACTGTCCTATTTCCAGCAACACAGGCAGCACAATTACAATTCAAGTCCAAATATATTAGGATAAGCAGGAAATGCAGCATATGTAAAAAAACACAAACCTCACTTTGGGCTTGGACTGGGAAGACTGGATGTTACAAACCTGCCTCAATTAAAGCAATTTAAACCAAAGTACTAACTATGCTCATTGGTGCAACAGATGTGAGGAGCACTCCACCAACTTTTATAAATGTTCTTCAGTCTAGTTCCAGTGTCTTAATCAGTAACAGTAGGTTCTTGGTCAGTCTCCCCTACATCCTGAGCTGCAAACCAATCCCGCACTTGCTGGTAGCTCATTCTTGATTTCTTGCATAGAGTGTCAAGGTCTTTTTCATGTAGTGGGCCTGTTGAAACGTAATATGTTACCAATGGCTGGATATCAGGGGTATCTGTACTTGCTGCATTTGCTTGAGATTTTCGTTTGCGGCCCCCTCGAGTAGATGACCCAGAGCCACTTCCATTAGTTAAACCACTGCTACTTTGCTGGGCTGCAAGTTCTGCCAAGAACTGATCACGCACTCCCTTCACCCAGCGCAGCTGGCCGTTTTTAACGGCATACCGTGTGTCCCCAAACCACTGGATAACATCTGCGCGGGGTAAACCAGTAAGCTTAACAAGTTCAGTGTAATCTTCACTCTTGGGCCACTGGCAGCGTAAGAAGTGCTGCTTTAACACATCCAACTGCTCCTTGGTCTTTCTTGGTCGCCCAGCAGGAGTGAGGGCAGGGGATGTGGAAGCGCCTGAGACGCGCAAGGACGTTTGGGAGGGACTAGCTTTGGCTGAGTGGGCTGACTTCTTTGATGTGCTGATGCTCTTTGAAAGCGGTTTATTGGGCGAGGCAGTCAGTGGTGGGCTGCCAGAGGGGGAAGAGTAGGGAGAGGATTTTAATGTACCTGATGGTTCCTGTGGAACATCTGGCTCAATCTTACAGGTCTTGGTCAGTTGTAAGGGTTGTTCTTCACTTTGTTCCTCGTCTTTAAAACTGTCCCCATCACCAGAAAGCTCATCCAAACCATCATACCCTTCTGTCTCAAGAACCCTTTCCCCAAATGCTTCCAGGCTGTTTGATAAAAAGGTCTGAAAGAAATGTGAATTTCTAATCCCACCGGCACGGGCACTGTCAGGGCCCTTCACCCCGTTAAGTGGACGAGTCTTTTGAGTAGTGAGTGGAAGCGGTTGTATTTGTTGATCTTGTTTACCTCCAACCGCAGTGTGCTGAGAGTAGTTCTGGGCTGCTGCCAGGCTTCCTCGGCCAACCCTAAGCTGGTATCGGCTGTCACTGAACCATTTACGAATGTCATTACGGCTCAACCCAGTTTCTTCCTGCAAACGTCTAAGCTCTGCCTCTGCAGGCCAGTTCTCTCTCAGAAAGCTTTTTCGAAGAGCAGCGAGTTGAACTTTAGACTTTTTGTAGCGCCCATGACGGTGCTGTCGCGAAGATGACTCTGAAAGGTCAAGGGAGGCATCGGTTGCTGTGCTTGCTGGTGTGTCCGCTGGTGGGCGGTAGAAGTATGAATCCTGAGGTGGCGGGAGGGTGGAACTGAAACATGGGGCACTGGGTTTGGCTGGTTTATAGGAATCTGGTGACTCACACTTTGGTTTCTTATTCTGGGGGGTGACGCTGGAGAGAGCATTCTCTTCTTCATTGCCATCCTTATCCTCAATCACCAATTCCTCATAACCTTTACTCTTGCTCTTTATTTTGGCCTCCTCGGTTGTTTCAGTAGTGTCATCATAAAGCTCAGGTACTGCCAGCTTCCGCCGTGTCTCCTCTATCTCCTCTGAGGACCAGCTGATACCATATTTAATTCTCTGCACCATAAACCACACCTTAACTTTGTCCAGTGGCAAGGCACATACCCGGGCCAGCGTGTTCACTTCACGGGATGACGGGTATGGAAATAGGTTGAAGGCTTGGACCAGCTCGGGGATTGTGTCAAGTTCGCGGGTTTGATCCGATTGCGTCCATACCAATTTCAATCCCTCTGACACTAGAGGCAGGCACACAACAGAGTTGTGGTTAGTGGTGAAACTAGCCACACCACTTGCGTTGCTTTCAGCTGAGCTAGCAGAGTGGCGCAAATCCTTGGAGGAGCGTTTAACTTCAAGCTTTCTTTCACATTCTATCTTTGTGACTTTCCCTTGAAAAGGCTCCTTCATGCTTATAATAAGTCCATTTCCATTATGTTCACTGTAGGTCGCCATCTGGGATATTAAAATAGGCTCTTTCACCTAGAAAAGAAACAGAAACAATGCTTTATTTCTCGCCAGACAAGATCACTGTAAGGAAAGGAAATTTCCATCTGAGGAGCACAGCCAGGAGTACAGATTATGATGTTTTAAGAACTTTCTGTTCTCATTCATTCTCAAAGTCAATTATCTGACAGCTGTTTCCCCTCCCCCCTACTTTGCACTCCTAATTCTGAACTCCCAATGAAACTAGTCGTAGACTCTGTCCAGACTGGGCACCCCTCCCCCAAAGTGTGGGGGGCTGACTTTTGTTTTGTGAGTGGGGGGATTGGTTGCAAAGGGTGGGAGCGTGGGGAATCTACGAGAAATCCATCACAGTCTTACTTTTCTCACCCCTTTCCAGTCAGGCTTTGTTCCACTCCCAAGTTCTCTGTCCCGAAACTGAAGTGTAGCCTCTTCACAAACGCCGATACCGAAGAGAAACCTGGGGAAGGAGAAATGGGTTGCATTACTTATACTGAAGTCTGAGTCTGGGCACACTCAAATATTCCTCATGAAAAATGACTTGAAAAACTACATAAATATAAATTAAATTTAGTTTTTAAGCAACAGGTGTTAAGCCAACACATATCACACTGTAAGTGTCTGCTTGGTAGTTAAAAAGGCTAAATACACTTAATTGTAGGCTAATTAATTGATATATTTCCTGACCAGTATTTATTGACACTTCTGACCCATTGCAGTTATTACTTAATTGTTTGAATCAGGTGTCCTGTAACTACTAATTGGACAGTGTCTTTTAAGTAACCACTGTATGTACTCTTCGTTTGTGAGTAATTGTTCTTTATTTGAGACAGCAGGGGAAATGTTGCGCATTTAGTGAAGAGGTTACGCCATGGCCGACGATTTGGGTCGCTGGAGCCACGCAAGAACTGTTCAAGTGTACCAAAAACATGAGCAAACAATAATGAAATCACTGTATTAGTCATTCGTGACACAGTGAAACTCATGGGGATGAGATCAAGCGGTGGCCTCCCCAGTGCCTGGGTTTTTACTTCAACTCACAGTAGGAGTTTCTACGCAGTATTTTTGTTTTTAGTGTAACAAAAAGCTATAAAAGTTGAGCAGTGTGCCAGTGGCAGTAGCAGTCCAGTGTCTCCCCCTTTATGGCGTACCAACTAAAACGCTTCACACTGCACAGGCGCACTCCGCCGTCAGACACGCTTCAGTGAAACATAAAAATAAACTTACCGAAAATGCCCAAACAGCCCTTTATCCCCGAGGTCCGTTTGAGCGAAAAGAAAACAAAAGAAAACCCGAGAGTTTCCCCTCTTCCACTCCGCTTCTTTATGGCCGAAGTTTAGCGGAAGACCAGGGAAACAATACCGTCCGTCTGTCTGTTTGACCCTTGTCTTATTTATCAAGCACCTCGACGGATTACTTTCGGGATACAAAGATGCGAGGCGACCAAGTTTGTCGCCTTTCGTAGGAGTTCAGTCGTCGGCTAAATCCTGCCGTAGAGGGCTCAAATCTCCCAATCCGTGAGATTCAGGTCTGAATGTGAGTCTCCGTTACTTCGCCCCTTCTCGGTCCATCCGTTGTTGCTTTTGTTCTTTAACTGAGAAGTGTTTTCCCTGTCCGGCCAGATCGAGGCGAGGCGGAGCTGAGGACCAGGAAGCCCACAAGGCCCAACTGACTCTCCCACAGTGACGGCGGGGTGGGTGTGCCAGTCTGGGAGAGCAGGCCATGGATTGGAGGGAGGAGGCGCCTGTATAATAAATCCGTGGCAGTAGGCTAAACATTTTCACGTCAACCACCCACCAACAATCAGGCCCACAAACATCATAGGATTTTTACAACGGAAATCATCATGTTAAATGTAAACACTGAATTCATCCGATTGCTGCTGTCCCAACTTAGCGCAGTAATCCTTTTTCTTTTTTACTTAGAGCCCCCCCAAAGACCCTGAAAGGTTCTTAGACTGTACTTATTATTAGTTTCTTCCACTGCTACCACTCAGGGTACTAGTTCTATGTATTTTTGCAACATGGGACAAGTTATATCGTGCATTTAATACATTTAAAACATGATATTGGTTAGTTTAAGACGCGTAGTATATTTAAATGTAACTACTTTTGTACCCACAAGTAACTCAATAAAAAAGATAGTATTTCCCCATGATTTTATGTCCCTTCACTACAGAGAAGGCTTTGAAACAGGATTTAAACCATTAGTTTTCATTTGAAATTTAAACCTTTCATTGCAGCAGTAATTTGGGGTTTGGTGGTGTGGCTCTGTCCCTAAGATGCTCCAAACTGATTTAAAGGACCTAACTGAACTCCACAGGCGTCTTTATTTGATGACCTGGGAATGAGAACGGGCTGTGAGGTGTGTGGGAGAAACAACAGGGGCAGCGAAACTAATGAAAAACACAAATGGTCCTATCTACAGCCAATAGACTCCCAACTCCTATATTCAGGTGATTATATACTAATGGAAACATACCTGGAATTTTATTATATTCAATTTCTGCCAATTGATCCGCCTAAATGTTACACACTGGAACTTTAAGGTTGAAAACGAAAAGAAAATGTAACATTTATAGGACAAGTGTGCAGGGATAATGCAAAAGGCCCTATAGACAGCGTTTAGTCTGTCTGTTCTAGGCTTCTGTAAAAACATGGTAGTTCAAATAATTGACTTCAGTATTTCTATAACCCTGGCTATGGCCCTGTATCAATTACCAAAACAGCACCAAACCCACAAAGACCCACAAAGGTTTAGACATGGTGATAAACCCAAGTTCTAAGAAAATAATCCAGCTGTAAGTTGGTCATTAATTTCTCTGTAGCATTTATAACAACTTGATCATGCTAAATAATAGTATCATATAGACAAGATATAAATATTCATCTTTCTGCAGTTTGGAGATGCTATCTTTTATTTTGTAAAAAGGAGTGACAAGTGTAAACAGTAGCAGGTTAACATTTCTTTATTGAACCAGTTGTTAGCCAGTCAAGTACAGTAGTAATAGTAGTTTAGTATATATGTATATATAGATTTAATAGAAATATAACAAGTGCAAAAGTACACAAGCATACGTTTATAAAATGTGTCTTCGTTATAATGTGACCTTTGTTATTTACCACTTAAGAAAATGCATAACATGATAATAAAGTCCCATTTTCACATTGTGTGGCTTCACCCACAGTTGACATTAGTGTTAAATACAGAAAATATGCTAAAGCATCCTTCATGTTTACCTAGTCCCAAACTTCATAAAAAGGCCTTCATTATGTATTCAAGTAGGAATGTTCACACAAACTCAAACAATATTCCTTCAGAAAATATCATTGTCTGTCTGATTTGTTTTGGTTCTTGTCATCCTTTAGCCCCCAGTAATCTGGGCCACTGACATGACAACTTTAGGTTTAGCTAGAATTATAACCATGTGCTTGAAATACAGGATGAAATTGCCACATCGGTACCGATATAATGTTTGAAATGTTTAGAACCGGTTATTTGCCAGGTTGAGCACAAAGCGTGGCAGGCGTAGGAATGAAGGGACAACAGCTGACAGCCAGGAGAGATATGGGACTTGGGTTACGAGGTATTTTAGGGAAGTGAAATCAACCACACTCCGTCCTGAAAATAAACAGTTAAAGAACATATTAGAATCATTGTCAGTACATAAAAGTAACTTTAACAACTAATAGGCACTTGCCATCAATATCTTTTATCCCATAGCGTCTGGACAGGTCACAGGTCATGAGTACTTTCCCAGTCAGTGACATCAGATTTTTATCTTTTGGACAGAAAGAAAAAAAACAATATGCTTAGTTTTTAAAGAAATAATTTTTATTACAGTTACTATTTAACAGTCTGACTGATGTACCATCTTGTACAGTGTAATCCCACCTTTTGCCAGGTTGACTATGCACAGCCCGCTCAGTTCCGTGGTTTCTCCATTGGCAAAAACATCCTTTAACTGAAGAGAAGAAACCCCAGAGACGTCCGAGTTCATGCTCTGTGGTGCGTCTTCCCCTAGCACGAGCTGAGACACCAACTCTGTTTGAACCGGTCCCGGCCACAGGCTGACGGAAGCCACTCCCCTGTTTTTCAGCTCAACAGCCATGTCTGCTGCCAGCCTGTCACACTGGAAACAAACAGGTTTCCATTACACTGACCTAATTTTACAATACATGTACTTGAACTAAATGCAGTTTGGCTCTCAATAACATAGGACTTCATGAGAGGAGAACTTACTGCGGCTTTACCAACGCCATATGGCACATTGAAGAGGTACCGCAGCCCACCCATAGATGAAATGGTTACTATCAAACCCTGACCCTGAGCCGCCATCAACCGGGATGCATAAACTGAGAAGAAATAGTGGCCCCTGCCAGATAAATAGAAATGGAAACAAGTCAAATCATTTTTGGCCGTTCCTGTTTTAAGACACCTCTAACACAGTGCAAATGAATACTGCTTGAATTTACAGTAAACATATCACACTATGTGTCACATCATGCCCCCAGTTTCTTGTTTTGTAGTGTGTTCCAGAAAATTCCCACTAAACACAAGAAGTCAAAAACAAGTTGAGTAATGTCTGGAAGTCTGTAACTACGCACGAGAAGATGAATAAGCAACTTGCTGCTAGTGACTCAGTTAATTTATCAGACATGAATAAGCACAAAAAACATACCTGAGGCCTGTGTTGTTGATGGAGTCCCACATGGACGGATCCGTTTCCCAGAACTTCTTCCCCATATTGTCAAAGATAGCCTGGAGTAACAAATCATCCGCAAGTAATTCTACTATATTAAGTTTGCGATACACCAAGTAGTGTTTCATGACAGTGCAGTGTAGCTACCTGTACTCCAGCATAGGCATTGTTAACCAGGATATCCAGCCGGCCGTTCTGTTCACGTTTGATCCGCTCAAACAGTTCTTCAATATCTTTGTCATTTGTAGAATCACAGATAACTGGCACACAGTTTCCACCCCTCTCCTTAACCTGTGATGAGAACAAATAAATTCTGACTGAAACACTACTACTACAATACTACAGAGCATACAACACCCACATTTCAAGAGCACCGATTTTGTACTGGAGGGAGGAATTTGCATATTTGGGAGCTGAGCCTATGGATCACAAATGAATCGAAGAGGTTAATGGACACTGCTTTTGTCACTCTACCTAATATCTGTCTGACACAGCCCTCCTAACAAATTCAAGCTCAACATGTCACCTGTGCAGCAGTTTGTTTCAGACTCTTCTCCTGGCGCCCTGTGATGTAGACGGTGGCTCCAGCCTCAGACAGCTGGAGAGCTATTCCTCTTCCGATACCCCTGGAGGCACCTGTTACCACACACACCCAGCCAGACAGGGACATATTTTCTCTGGGAGAGGAGACAACACCACATGGGATAAGCAGTCAGCACAATCATACACACAACTACAAGTAAAGGTCAACTGGGGGAAAATTGCAACATGGCTGTACAAAGGTAGAAAAATTGCATGACCTCCATCCACTGTCCATAGTTCACTGTAACTCCAAAGGAGCTATTTATTGCCTTACACAACATTAGGTCCAGTCACTGTTACTCAACATTGTGAATGTGCAGCTGACACTGATATAATGACAAGACTGTGTGTTAAACGATGTATCAGGAACAAAATGTAAACTTTACCCAAACTGTAAAAGTACATATTTACACTATATAAAGACGTAGCAAGGCTATTGCTATATTGTATACAGGAGGAAAACCCACGTATTGTTTTGATACACCCAAAACATCTGCTGAGGTTATACCAGGACACATTCTTCTTATGTAAAGAGCTATTTTTACTCATGTTTTCGTGTTTTTCATCGTTCTTACGAAACACGAGCTAATTGATTTTGAACAATGGCTTTTTTTCTCCTTATTTCAGCCAAACTTTTGCTGTCAACAACTTTACAACGATTTTATTGCCGTCATAACTTTACAACGAAATTATTGTCGTCATAAAACGATAAGTTGGTGTAACATAAACCCTTTCACGAGAAAAGACTTCTCAGATAAACCGACGATACTTTTTTTACATTAATTAAATAAAAATTCATGCCTTTCAGGGCCAAGACGGTTATTTAACGCTGTATATTGTATAAGAAAACAAAGAAAATAACACCAATACCTTATTCCACACAAAGCGCTGGATGTGGTTTGATAACTCTTAACGATAGTCCTGCGAAGGAACCACACAAGGCAACTTATCGATACAGACGTGAGTGCTGGTGTGAGCGGTTGTGATGATGCACCGTGTAGTGCCTCGAGCTACAACAATGTGACAGTAACGCCTATCAAACACCAGACTGGATCTGCCGTAATATCGCGAGAACTCGCGAAACGAAGCAGAGAGTGAGTGGAGGTGACGGCGATTCACAACCTCCCCCTTCGCCTAAATTTGGACAGACAAACGTTAGTAATCATAGTTGTAATGAGAGAACTAATAGTTATTAGTAAGGTACAGCCATATTCGCCCCAGATATTCTGGTTTTGAAGTGAACAGTCAAAGAGTAACTTAGTTATGTTATGAGCTACCAGTGACGTTTTTTAGCTTCAAATATTAGTTTAAATGCCTCTTTGTTAAGCACGGTTGTAGGCTGTTGTTGTTTAACAAACTGTTGATAACAGTTTACACTGGGATGGGCCACAATCATACTGTCAATGTCACATTGCTGGTGAGTGACGGTACGTGGTCGTCTTTGGTCATTCACAACAATTCACACATGGAGGTGCTGTGGTAAAAAATAAAAAATACACGTAGCTTTTAAATACTGGCACAGGGAAAATGGTGAGCATTTTGTCACCTGATAGTCTGGGACATAGTAGGGGGTAAACTCAGGTCATCAACCTCTTTGTAAGGAGGCTGCAAGTTCACTTATCCATTTTCAGATCAACCATATCACTTGCGTGATAGGGGGGTGAGTGAGGGGAGGCTGTCTGTCTACACTCCTTCTGATATCGAAAATGACCTGGACAGACATTTTAGTCAATCATTATCAACAAGTGGAACCTTGCTGACATAGCGGGGGATACTGTGCACACTCTAAAACAGGTCAAACCTAATTTCAAGCCAAGTAAGCAAATTTATAACGCTAAATCCTGATGTACAATATTCTTCATCATGGTCAACATCAATGCGGAAAGCTATATATTTGCTTGTTTACATTTTTTGAATTGACCTCCCTCCTTGTCAGGTTTTCTAATCTAACAGGAATCCATACAGGCTCAACTTTTAATAAGGTTTTTTTCAGGATCCTCTTCTGTCAATATCAGAATCAGGTTTATTAAGTTTTCACAAGGAATTTGCCTTGGCACTTAAGAATCACAGTGAAGCAAAAAAATATATAAATAAAGATAAGATAAAAATAGAGACAATAAAAAGGAGCCGCTATATACAAATATAAAATATATGGAAACCAGATCTGTAAAAAGTTGCAGTGACGACTGTAAAGGGGAATCTATTACTGGAGACGTTGCTGTTAGATTTGTTTAAAGAAATCAACACAAACTAAATGTCATCGCCCAGGTAGGAATCACAAAGGGGGAAACCTGGGTGAATAAATCTCAGAGTAAGACAGAAAATAAGTTTTTCTGTAATTTGTGTGAAATGTCTCTTTAAATCATATTCTAGTTTTTGTCATGCTAAATGTACATCTTTGACAGATCAGCCTCATTGAACACTTTTCCACCACCATGTCCCAGGGAGGAGACTGACTCTGTGACGTTGCACTTGTGCTTGTTGTTATGGGATGTTATAGTTTCAGTTTTCTGCATTCAAAATGCTCCATTTCATTAACTCAGCAACTTCTGTTTTTTCTCATATTACAAAAAAAGCCCCCAATCGAAAACATTAGGCAATCATGTCAGCACATCAACTTTTACGGGAAACGCCTACACTGATAGACACTGTGAACATTGGAAGGAGTTTCAAGTAACATTTGAAGTCAAATAAAGCAAATGCTGACTCGTGATAGCAGATTCTGTTTTATGTTGTATACGACATGGCTCTTAGCTGGAAAGATCGTAATTCCATTATCTCTTTCTTGCTTTTTTAAAGAACAGCTGTGTCATATTTTATTTTTTATTTTATTTTAGCTCTACCACGTGATTTGTACAGTTATTATTTACCCACATCCGTGCCATTAAACAAACTCATGGAACACTTTTTAATCATTAATTCAGTGTTAATAGATGTGTCTGTCAGTTTCAACTTGCCTCTTGCAGAATAAATCATTATGACTTCAGGACTTGTCAAACTTTGAGTGAAACGACCTCCTCACTAAGCATTAATTAAAATGATACTGAAGTTTACATTTACAGAAGACAATATTTGAATGTAGTTTTTTTTTTCCTCCAGTTTCTGGTCTCATGAAGTGCCCTTTTGCAATCTGATTGATTTACTGTGTCCCCACAATGTTTGCTGAAGATAAACAAAAATGTCTGATATATTGTAAATAATTCACAATTAACGGTAATAATTGTAGTAATAGTCTCCTCCTCCCTCTTTGGGAAGTTAACACCCCCTCCTTCGACATCAGTCATTCAGTGTCAGTGTTGTATAAAAAACATTAGGACTGCTGGGAAGAAGAGATTTATGACACCAGGCAAACAGTGCAATGGCTGGAGGTTCTTACTTCATTTGGATTCCCTTCCTCCTGTGTTGTGTCTTTGAAGCTTCTGACAACAGACATGGTAAGGAACAGTAACCCATCCACACTGCACTCGGTTAGTAAGCAGCGAATAAAACATACATAATTGTTCATCCTGAAGTTTCTCTGTTTTCTCAGTCCACCAGAATGTGAATCTTGTAACTGGTCGTACAGGACATTCAGAGTTGGACCAAATCATTTCAAAGCTTCCAGTGAGTCCCCCAAACTGTGACTTATTGAGTGAGATAAACACATTTATATTAGGCTACATTGCAATTTGGGAAATCCTTGTAAGGCTCTGTCTTCTGTCCCGTTGACTTCAGATAACCCTACCAGAAGGAATTGATCCCAAGAATATAAATATAACGGTATGCAACAAATTCAACAATTTCATGCCAATGCAAATCTCCTGTGGTTGTTAAAGTGACCGATACGTTACCAATGTTAAACCTTTATTACATAATCTACTTTTTGTATTTATTTCAACCAATGCAATATATTTCTTTCCTTCACAGTCAATTGTGGTCAAAACCTGTACTGGTGAGTGGTTCTTTATACTTACCTGCACATCATGAATCGCCGTAGCAGCGATTGAAATTCCCATTGCAAATGTACACAATGGTTTAGGCTTAGACTGTAACCCTATATAAACATATTGTGACATTACTAACGTCTTGTCAGGTATGAAGGAGCAGCTGGCACGGCTTGACAGCCAGCTTCGGCAGATAACTCACCGCAACAGCCTACTAGGTGAGCATTTATCCTTTTAGAATCTGAGGTGTACTGTTAGGACCGGTGGGTTTACTGTTGCTCCGATATAACCTGTACTCTCTGACAGATAATGAAGCCTTTGGATTGAGGAGTGAAGTCAGACTGCTGAAACTGCAGCTGGCCGCATGCAGTTCAACAGCATCAACTATTACTGACTGTAAGCTTCTGATTATAAATCATACATTCATGGCACATGTTTAAATGATACACTTAGGGCAGCATAAACCAATGTTTTACCATATCTTTAACTCCTTGACAGCTTATCAGATCCAGTTACAAAACAAAATGAAACAGCTTCTGGAGACGGACAGTGGCATGTTTCTGAGTAAGTTCACCTGCAGGGAGTTAAACTTTTTATTTATTGTTTTATCATATGGGTTAAAGTTTCAGTTTGATGAATATAGCTGTCTTTTTCTAGTTCTGAAAACCCTTGCACTCACCAGGGAGGTGAATTCACTGGAGGGGAAGATCAAACATGCTGCAAATTCTACTGAAACTACTCCTGAATTTGGAGGCAAGTGTTATTTCATTGCTCTAAATCCGCTGGCAAAGTCTTAACAATTCAATTCACTATTATGTTACTGTCAGTCCAATATCTTGTATTTATCTTTTATTATTCTGATTATGTTGGTATCTTCTGTGAGAGTGTTTGTTGGTGTTGACTAAATGTCTTTGAATTAAAATGTTTCATGTCTCACAGTGTTGCAGAGACAGCTGCAAGAGAAAACCACTGAACTGAATGAAAAGATACAGCAGATTGAAAGAAGCCACACAAACTCTTCACTGAGTATGAGCTCTTTAAAATGATTTACAAGACATTTGTAGAACAGCTGTTGGCAGTGTCAAGGATTGCTGGGCTGTTGATCCGTTTTGATTTGTACAGTATTACATGGTCCTGATTTGACTTGTTTTTGTGTGTGCTCAGTTCTTCAAGTCATTTCACTACAAACTCAGATCTGGGATTTGGAACAGGCAAAATCAAGAAGAGGAGAAGCTGGTCTTCAACCCGACAGGAGAATTATTGGTAAGTTGTTGTTCACTTGAAGGAAATACTGAAATGCTGAGGTATGTAAATTGCTTGTCCATAATTCAGGCAGTGCATTTGAAGAAAAACACATTCTGCCTTTTACAAGTAAAAAGTTGAATTTATAAATGAAGTGCAACAAATCTCCATTCAATATTCTTTTTGTTGCCACAGCTTTGGTCTGGTATTACCAGAAGCTTATGTGGCTAATGTTAGAAAACGTTTTGCTGTACAATGCACATTGCTGTCTCATCTGACTTTATGACTCCACTCTTACTCCATAGCTTAGCATTTTAGCTAAACGAGTTAGCTAAATTCAGTAGCTTATACTAAACAGTATTTCAACATTTAGCATGATCTCATAATTGTCATTTGTTTTCTCGCCACTGTTCACGAAAGTTACATAGTCTTACTTTTACATCACCTCGCTTTAGACCTCTTATATGGTCTGTTCAGCAGTTTTGTTTGGAAGGACTCATTTTATGTCCGTTTTTATGATTTGTTCTCTGCTTAATCACTTTCTACTCATCAGCACTACAAGACCAACTGGACAGGAAGATCAGTGAGTTGCGAGGCAACAGAGATGCAGGCTCAACCAGTCAGTACACCTCTCTACATCTGTCAATATTTATATTGTCAATATTAAAGGTCCAGTGTGTAACATTTAGGAGGATCTATTGACAGATATGGATTATAATATTCCTAGCTATATGTTCATTAGTGTATAATCACCTGAAAATAAGAGCTGTTGTGTTTTTGTGACCTCAGAATGAGACGTTTCTATCTACAGAGGGAGTGGGTCCTCTTCCATGGAGGCCACCATGTTGAACCACCATGTTTCTACAGTAGCCCTGAACAGACAAACCAAACATTCGCTCTAGATAGGACGTTTAGTGTTTTTTGAAAGTTTCGTGGCCACCGTAGTCTCTCTTTAGCATCAAGGGGTTTCACGTGGTCGCAATCTGCAACTTCACCGCTAGTTGCCATTAAATCCTACACACTGGTCCTTTAAAATGTTGGAATTCAACTCATTCTAATATGCGTCCTCTGTTGGTCCTCCAGTGCTGGAGCTGGTTTCTGTGCACAGTAAGATCTCAGTGATACAGAGGCTCATCAGTGTCCACATTGAGGAATCCAGAACTAATACTATTGGTGAGCTCTTATACCTTGTGTCTTGAGATGTCACAGTATAGTAGTTCCTGCCTTATCTTGTATGTGACATTCTTTATTTTTCTTTTTCAGATTACCAGAGGCAATGGAGGCAAAAAGCTGAGCTCCTTAAAAGGAAGATTTCGCAGTTGAACCGTGAGGAGAGTAATACAGAACTTAGTAAGTGTGCAACTCAACAATGCACCTTTGTGTTGTTATTATTCTGTTTACTACAGCATTAATTTGACATCCTTCATCCTTTATGTTTTTCTCCAGCCAAGGAAATTTTGATGTTGCAGATGGAGGTCGAGAATTTAAGACAGTTATTATTAAACGCCAAAAAGACAAGTGATTTCCAACTTAAAGGTGAATGACCCCAAGACAAATTTGATTTACCTGAATGTGTGAAGTTGCAAGTCACAGTGTGGAAATATGAAATGATAAAGCTAGAAACAAATCTTATAGCTACTCTAACAGCAGAAAGCCATACATAGTTGTCTTTTTCATCCTAGAGCTAAGAGTTATTTTGGAGAAGGAAAGAAAACAGCAAGAAAACATACAGAAACAACTGGAGGAAACAGACTATGCTCAGGCACAACTGAGTAAGTATGAGCAGGGCATCCAGAATTCCACTTTCAACTGTCCCAGACCTAACAACCATTGTCCCAAACTGAAGTTTTTTTTCTTTCTACATAACGAATATAGTTCAATAACTTGTTGTTTCAGTAACTCACATCACTTCATTGACTCACTCTGGTCCGCCATGGAAGTTCTGATAGTTGTTCCCTGCACAAAATTGACCCACCTTCACTCTAGCTGTTTGGCCACAATCCCTTTTCATTATTCTTTTAATCATTCATTGTTTGATCTATAAATGCATCGCCGCAAACTGCAGTGAAAATGCAAAGCAGTTTCTGATTGGTATACATAGAAACTTACACCCTCTTTGAACATTATTATAATTTAGCCAAAGTATTACAGACACTACAGGGACAGCACAAAGTAAAAAGTTGTTTAAAAGATCTACAAATATAGGGAGAGGATTTAAATATTCACAATCTTAAACAAAGTATTTACATACTGATAACACCATAATCCAGAGATCCGGAAAGAAAGAGTGACAGAGAAGGTCAAACATAACACGCCACATCTAATGACTTCCTTCGCACAACACAGGAGGAGAGGGAGAGCCCCCGGCACTGTTTGCAGAAGAGCTGCGGACTGCAATTATTCTGAGCAGCATACATGGAAAAGAATAACAACATAACACATTTCTCACCTTGTCCCTGATGGTCTGAATAAATTACGAAATTTGTCACTGGGCGCTTTTTAGAAATAAAGTTGCAGACAGTTGCTGAAATGTTGCTAAATCAATCTGAAAAACGTTCTACTTTAACTGTTGTGTTATCTCCACAAAGAAAGAAACACCAAAGCACCCACATACAGTATACATATATCTCCCCACTCCAAACACTTAAGTATTTTGCTTTACTTCATAGTCATGAATATCGTCAGCATAATGAAAGAGTTGAGAGAGCGGGTTGAACAACCAGACCAGACAACATCAACAAGTGACGCAACCAGTGAGTCCTCCTCCGCTTCTGTTGTTAAAGTCAGATATGATAAGTAATTGGTGGCTTACACTAACACAAATCTCTTGCATGCCTTTGTTTTAAATCAGCTCTCCAGACTCTGCTTCAAACCAAAGAAAGGGAATATACCAAAGCTCAGGCTGAAATAAAGGGTGAGTCCGTTTTATTCTTATGGATAAAACTTAAAAGCACAATTTCAAATTAATGTTTTGAAGACCTGACCTCATCTGTCTGTACAACAGAGCTGCAGAGGAAGCTGCGGTTAAAAAGTGAAGAATGCTCTGGGCTTGAGGAAAGATATGAGCGTGAGTTGTCAACTTCAGCTCAAGGCCCTGATGATTCATGTTTTAGTTTTCAGTTCTGATTTGGTTTATGTGTGTGTGTTTCTATCAGAGGTAAAGACTGAATTTGAACAGAAGATTGTACAACTGAACAGAACCGGAGACTCCAAAGCAGCACTCAGTGAGTAACGATATTATGCAACAGTATTGGCCCCAGTGCAGTGCATTATTCACATTATAGTTGAAATCTCTCATCTGATAGTTGTTTCAGATTTTGTAGTGATGTTTGCTGTGTTTTTCTGGGTCAGTTTTGAACGTGATAAACTTGCACGATGACCTGAAGACTCTGCGGGAACTGATCTCCACCTCAGACAACCCAGAGAGGATCTCAGGTGAGTAAAAGTCACAGTGAACATTTGGCACTGCAAATGGGAATATGTCTTAATATATATTTATATTTTAGGCATTGAGAAATGACTTTCATTAATTGAACATTTGTTGTATTTCCTTAATGTATCACTATATATCTGTCTGCTCACAGAGCTGCAGAGGCAACTGGAGGAGAAGCAAGAAGACCTGAACTCCAAGACTGCAGACATAGAGAGACTGATTCCAAACCCGAAAATAAGTGAGCGCTTTGAGTCGATCCTCTGTGTTGATCTGAGTCACTGTTTACATTTTAAGCAAGTAAGCAAGTGCAGGGCTAAAAAGCTGTTTTTAGATGGCACTTAACCATCATGGATGGTTTTTTTTACAAGCTCCCCGCACATCGAACAATGTCACATTTTTAAGATATGCAGACAGCAGACAAGTAGATTAAGTCTTTTATAGAAAATACAGGAAGGAGTGGTGGAATGGTGAGATTGTGGCTGGCTGAAGGTTGAAAAAAAATTGTGTCCAGTCAGTATTTGCCATTAACAGACTCAGTCAAACTTACTGCATGTTTGTTTGTTTCAGTTTTAACGATCATTGAGCTGCAAAATGAAATATGGGACCTTCAGAAAAAGGCTGGCAATGAGGCCACTAGTGGCCGTATAAAAGGTTAGTCTCATTTAAATGCCAGTGCCAGTGAAATTTTTGCAGAAATTAAATCACTGACTAAATATGGTTTACATTAAAAACTATTTACTTTTTCATAGCGTTGCAAAACAGAGTGGATGGCCTTATGACTGAAATAGACGACACAGACGACAATAACACAAAACTGGGTGAGTTTGAAGTAATTAGGGAAAAGTCTGTACAAATTTTCTTAGAGTATATTTTGTAGTAAACTACATTATCACCCTCTCTGTTGTCATGTGCTTCAGTCCTGAAAATCATAACCCTGCAGAGTCAGGTGGAGCAGCTGAAGAGACAGTTGTCTCAGGCCACTCAGGCTACCCGTAAGTATCACATTTAATCAAAAGGTTTCCAGCTGGTTTAACCGAACTGTAGAATAAAACAGCAGACAGTGTAAGATAAGTCAAGGATGCAAGCAAGTTATCGCATGATGCAAAGGTTGGCTGTAATACTAGTGTGTTGCATTTTCATTAGTCCCAGAGCTCAGAAATGATCTTGAGACGACGAGGAAAGAGCTGCAGAAATATGTCAGCGAGCTGAATGAGAAGAATCAGACAAATGCCAGACTGAGTAAGTAAAAAGGGAACAGGGTGCCTGCATTCATTATTGAGAAATAGTCTGAAATATATTTATTTACAATAGATTATTTCTGTGATTCTCAGTTCTTACAGTCACTGATCTGCACAAACAACTCAGAGACCTAGAAAGAGAAAAACAAAGTGAGGGCCAAGCAGCTTCTGCTACAATTACCAGTGAGTGCCTCATACCCCTTTGACATTATTGAATTCATGTATCAGCAGTAGCTCCTTCTAAAGCTGAAGCATATCTTACTCTTTCCAGAGCTGAGAGAGCAGCTGAAGGAAAAAGTGGAGGAGCACTCTCGTGATCAGGCTGAGATCAAGGGTAAGTTCACCTCTAGCTCGTGTAGGTTTCTGCAACAAGAAATGAAAAAGAAAATTAAGTTGAATATGAATGTGTTTTTGTACCAGCTCTGCTGAATCAACTGAACCAGACAGAGGCACAGTGTTCCAGTTTTGAGCATAAACTTAAAGGTGAGTGTACTTATGTTTAGTTACCTTATGACCCCACTGTGGGAAATTAGTGGGTTTATTGTCTATTTTAAAACTTGTTGTTTAAAATGGTAGAGCTGGGATGGGGTGGGAACTGTCTGTACAACAGAGCTGCAGAGGAAGCTGTGGTTAAAAAGTGAAGAATGCTCTGGGCTTGAGGAAAGATATGAGCGTGAGTTGTCAACTTCAGCTCAAGGCCCTGATGATCCATGTTTTAGTTTTCAGTTCTGATTTGGTTTATGTGTGTGTGTTTCTATCAGAGGTAAAGACTGAATTTGAACAGAAGATTGTACAACTGAACAGAACCGGAGACTCCAAAGCAGCACTCAGTGAGTAACGATATTATGCAACAGTATTGGCCCCAGTGCAGTGCATTATTCACATTATAGTTGAAATCTCTCATCTGATAGTTGTTTCAGATTTTGTAGTGATGTTTGCTGTGTTTTTCTGGGTCAGTTTTGAACGTGATAAACTTGCACGATGACCTGAAGACTCTGCGGGAACTGATCTCCACCTCAGACAACCCAGAGAGGATCTCAGGTGAGTAAAAGTCACAGTGAACATTTGGCACTGCAAATGGGAATATGTCTTAATATATATTTATATTTTAGGCATTGAGAAATGACTTTCATTAATTGAACATTTGTTGTATTTCCTTAATGTATCACTATCTCTCTGTCTGCTCACAGAGCTGCAGAGGCAACTGGAGGAGAAGCAAGAAGACCTGAACTCCAAGACTGCAGACATAGAGAGACTGATTCCAAACCCCAAAATAAGTGAGCGCTTTGAGTCGATCCTCTGTGTTGATCTGAGTCACTGTTTACATCTTAAGCAAGTAAGCAAGTGCAGGGCTAAAAAGCTGTTTTTAGATGGCACTTAACCATCATGGATGTTTTTTTTACAAGCTCCCCGCACATCGAACAGTGTCACATTTTTAAGATATGCAGACAGCAGACAAGTAGATTAAGTCTTTTATAGAAAATACAGGAAGGAGTGGTCGAATGGTGAGATTGTGAGGCGGGCAGGCAGGCAGGTAATCCTCATGGCAGGGGGAATAGTCTTGCTGACGGTCAGGCAGACAGACAACCAAATATCATCAAATCAGAGGATCTTTAAGTTATTTTGTTTGTGGTGCCTTCCCTTTTAGGCCTCTTCCGACAGCGTTTGCTCTCTTCTATGTAGATTTTTGCCCATGTCAGTTGTGCATGACTCTACATTTATTTACAATGCAGGTCGACTTTTTGATCTAGCACTACTCCAAGTGTGAAAAAAAATTGTGTCCAGTCAGTATTTGCCATTAACAGACTCAGTCAAACTCACTGCATGTTTGTTTGTTTTAGTTTTAACGATCATTGAGCTGCAAAATGAAATATGGGACCTTCAGAAAAAGGCTGGCAATGAGGCCACTAGTGGCCGTATAAAAGGTTAGTCTCATTTAAATGCCAGTGCCAGTGAAATTTTTGCAGAAATTAAATCACTAACTAAATATGGTTTACATTAAAAACTATTTATTTTTTCATAGCATTGCAAAACAGAGTGGATGGCCTTATGACTGAAATAGACGACACAGACGACAATAACACAAAACTGGGTGAGTTTGAAGTAAGTAGGGAAAAGTCTGTACAAATTTTCTTACAGTATATTTTGCAGTAAACTACATTATTACACTCTCTGTTGTCATGTGCTTCAGTCCTGAAAATCATAACCCTGCAGAGTCAGGTGGAGCAGCTGAAGAGACAGTTGTCTCAGGCCACTCAGGCTACCCGTAAGTATCACATTTAATCAAAAGGTTTCCAGCTGGTTGAACCGAACTGTAGAATAAAACAGCAGACAGTGTAAGATAAGTCAAGGATGCAAGCAAGTTATCACATGATGCAAAGGTTGGCTGTAATACTAGTGTGTTGCATTTTTATTAGTCCCAGAGCTCAGAAGTGATCTTGAGACGACGAGGAAAGAGCTGCAGAAATATGTCAGCGAGCTGAATGAGAAGAATCAGACAAATGCCAGACTGAGTAAGTAAAAAGGGAACAGGGTGCCTGCGTTCATTATTGAGAAATAGTCTTGTTATTTATTTACAATAGATTATTTCTATGATTCTCAGTTCTTACAGTCACTGATCTGCACAAACAACTCAGAAACCTAGAAAACGAACGACGCAATGATAACACAACGTCTTCTTTAACAATTACTTGTAAGTATCTCATTTTCTTCTAAGATCACTAAATTCACTTCATGAATATCTTCTGTTTGATAATATAAAGCAAAACTGACTCTTCTAGATCTGAGGGAGCAACTAAAGGCAAAAATGGTGGAGCACTCTCATGATCAAGCTGAGATCAAGGGTAAGCTGTGAACTCTATTGGTTATTAGAAGTGATGTATAAGTAAACTAGTAATGCTCTACGGTATTGTTTTAAATCAGCTCTTCAGGCTCTGCTGCAAACCAAAGAAAGGGAACAAGCCATTGCTCAGACTGAAGTCAGAGGTGAGTTGAGGGTTTTTACAAATAGGATTTTTATAAGTAAGACTCCTCTGAAGGGTGAGCTTTGAAGACCTGGCTTCCTCTTTTTACACAACAGAGCTGCAGAGAAAGCTGAGATTAAAGAGTGAAGAATGCTCTGGACTTGAAGAAAGATATGGAGGTAAATTGTAAACATGATTTCAGCTAAAGGCTTTGATGATTCAAGTTTTCATGTTAGTTCTTATTTGGTATATGTGTGTGTGCTTTTGTCAGAGGTAAAGACTGAATTTGAACAGAAGATTGCAGAGTTGAACAGAACCGCAGACTCCAAAGCGGCACTCAGTGAGTGAAATTGCAATGCAGTATTTCCATTATAGCCTCAGTACAGTGCCATGTTCACATAGATAAAAACTATTCATTTTACATCTCCTGCTCAGTTTGTTTGAGAAGTATAAGCTCTGTAGTGATGTTTGCTCTGTTTATCCGGGTCAGTTCTGAACGTGATAAACCTGCACGATGAGCTGAATACTCTGAGGGAACTGATCTCTACCACCGGCGACCCGGAGAGGATCTCAGGTGAGTAGCAGTAGTCACAGTGAATGTTTTTTTCTGCCTCTCCTAGTTTTCACTGTCATCACTTTTTCTCCTCACAGAGCTGCAGAGGCAACTGGAGGTGAAGCAAGAAGATCTGAACACTAAGACTGCAGACATAGAGAGACTGATTCCAAACCCCAAAATAAGTGAGTACTTTGATTTGATCCCCTGTGATCATCTGGGTCACAGTCCAAAGTCCAAATCATATTTAACTTAGCAGCTGCTGTCAGAACCTAAAATATCAAGTTTGTTGCTGCTGTATTATCCTCAAATGTAATTTCATATTGCCCCTCTGAGTTTGACACACAATACACTATATACAGGGATATATGATATATATGCTTTTTGTGATAGTGTTGCTATAGCGACTTTTTAGATGAAAGTTTAAAAATGTATTTAGTACAGTCTAGATCTGCAGCTATTACTGAAATGAAATAATTAATGGAAACATTTGAAACACTGTAACCTTATAAAAAATATGAATTCAGTCTGTTTACATGCCGTTTTTAATCAAAACAAATTGTTACTGTATGTGTGACAATTTGAGCGTTTAATGTGCAAAACGTCTGACAGTTAATACTTACCTGAAAGTTGTCCTTAATATACAAGGTACGATGTTTCTCATTTCTGTGACGTTATTTGTAAAACCAGATATTTGCTGAATGTTAAATTATATTAATTTACCTTTAAAATGGAAATGTGCAGTGGGCTTTTGAGGCTCCTGTGTTATAGTAGAAATGATAATCAAGACTCCAAAATGTTTACTGAACAAGAATACCAAAAATCTTAAATAGAAATATTTTCAAATATTTCCAAATTAAATATCCAATTTTGTGTTAAATTCACAAACTTTGAGTATTTTCCTTGTTTGTTCCTTAAGTTTTTGTTTTCTTCTTGTAACAACCTTTTAAAAAAAAAGAAAGAAAGAAAGAAAGAAAGAAAGAAAGAAAGAAAGAAAGCGAGCAAGAAAGAAAGAAAGAAAGCATCTAAAAGCTGTGGGAAAATAAGTCCACAAGGTGGCACTATAGCAACCATCTTTTGACAAAAGAAAAAGGGAAAAAAATCTTGGTTGACTTCCTAAGAATTAACCTTAATTGCATGTATATCACATGTAATACAACATTTTCGTCCTTTATAATAGTTACACCCTAAGCTAAATGAGTTGAATGTTTTGCTTTGATTGTGAGAAACATGAGAATGTGCCTAAAATATAAAAACTCAACTGGTGATTGCTGTTTGCATTGCTGTGTAGCCTTTTGCTCTTTTCTTAAAACCCCAGATACACCTTTTGTGAGAGCTGACAGTCCAATTTCAAATAGCACAAATACTTGTGTATTCCCAGACAGTGTAGCTTAGAGAATTGTGTAATTAAAAAAAGTAAATGGTCATTAAGTCTTTAATGTTGAGGACTGGTGAGACATTTCTGAGGAAATAAAGTCAGTCAAACTCACTGCATGTTTGTTTCAGTTTTAACGATCATTGAGCTGCAAAATGAAATATGGGACCTTCAGAAAAAGGCTGCCAATGAGACCACAAGTGGCCGTATAAAAGGTAAGTTTCATTTAAATGCCAATGCCAATAAAATTATTTGAGAAATTAAATCACTGACTAAATGGTTTACATTAAAAACGCTTTACTTTTTCCTAGCGTTGCAAAACAGAGTGGATGGCCTTATGACTGAAATAGACGACAGAGACGACAATAACACAAAACTGGGTGAGTTTGAAATAACTGTCAAAAGAACGTTTCATAGGCAAGTTGTGCTTTCTTTCTTCTTTGTTGTTGGTCCTATTACAGTATTTCTTGAATTACACTACATTATCACCCTCTCTGTCGTAATGTTCTTCAGTCCTGAAAATCATAAACCTGCAGAGTCAGGCAGAGCAGCTGAAGAGACAGTTGTTAGACCTCCAGAAGTTAGGAACCACTCAGGCTACCCGTAAGTATCTCCAGCAAACCTTTACAAATCCCTAAACAAGCTAATTGTGTCCTCCTGCCGAGGTTATTCGTAATATCAATACTGCTGTACCCTCATGTACGATACCCCTGCATGTAACTAATACATGTGTTTTAACTTCTTTAAATTTGTCCCAGAGCTCAGAAGTGATCTTGAGACGACGAGGAAAGAGCTGCAGAAATATGTCAACGAGCTGAATGAGAAGAATCAGACAAATGCCAGACTGAGTAAGTAAAAAGGGAAAGAGGGGGGCCTGCGTTTATCATGAGAAATAGTCTGAAATATGTCTCACAATAGATTATTTCTGTGTTTCTCAGTTCTTACAGTCACTGATCTGCACAAACAACTCAGAAACATAGAAAGAGAAAAGCAAAGTGAGGGCCAAGCAGCTTCTGCTACAATTACCAGTGAGTGCCTCATTCCCCTTTGACATTATTGAATTCATGTATCAGCAGTAGCTCCTTCTAAAGCTGAAGCATATCTTACTCTTTCCAGAGCTGAGAGAGCAGCTGAAGGAAAAAGTGGAGGAGCACTCTCGTGATCAGGCTGAGATCAAGGGTAAGTTCACCTCTAGCTCGTGTAGGTTTCTGCAACAAGAAATGAAAAAGATAATTAAGTAATATGAATGTGTTTTTGTACCAGCTCTGCTGAATCAACTGAACCAGACAGAGGCACAGTGTTCCAATTTTGAGCATAAACTTAAAGGTGAGTGTACTTATGTTTAGTTACCTTATGACCCCACTGTGGGAAATCAGTGGGTTTATTGTCTATTTTAAAACTTGTTGTTTAAATGGGACAGTCCTGCATCTTTTTCTGTTTAGCAAATTATTGCATCAATATTGCACCAAACAGCTTAAAGTAAGGAAGGAAAAGCAGAGGGAATATCACTCAAAATCTTGCATATCAACCCCTCTGTATTCAAACTTGTACAGGACAGCTGACGCCTTAATGTGTGGCTTTTTACTGTCCTCTGGCTCCCCCTTTAAGCCACAGATAGCTTATATAGCAATATAGAATGGAAGAAGTTCTTTCATTAATTTGATGTCAATGTCAAATGTCAAAATGTCAATATTGGGGAAAATACATATGGTCATTCAGTTCATTCAGGGGCAAAACTGCTTTTCAACTTCTCAAATAGTTAACAAATGGTCAATCAATTTGGAGGGTTTTCTTACATGTATGACAGTATTATCTGCATAAAGTGAAATAAAAAGGGGTGTGTTATGGGCAACGATTGGTTCATGTGATTGCCAGATAGCCTGCACAAGTGTCTGGAAAGGTGAAGCCATTAATAAGGGGGAGAGAGGGCAATGCTAGAGCCCAAGGTAGCCGGTCTTGCTGAGAAGATGCTGCCTGTTGGATTAGCATAAAGAAACTTGTATCTTAGAAATAAATTATTCACACTCCTCAGATCATGCTATTTAAGGCATTCAAATCTTTCTTCTTGTTCTGTCTGTGGATCTTGTAGATCTGCAGAATGACCTGGATGCCAAAATGAAGGAACTGCAGTCCAGATCTGACACTGTTACTTCACTTGGTGAGTGGTAGAGCTGTGTTACCAAACAGCGAATCAGTTAATTGATTAATAATTCATTGATAATGGATGGTGGAAATTAATTTCATTTGAACATAGTTGGTTCATTTTTTTTTAATTAAATGTGGTTCTTTCAGCTCTTCAAATTTCTACTTTGACTCTGCAACTAGAGGAGCTAAAGAGACAACTACAGAACACTGACTCGGAAACCAAGATCAAAGGTCAGTGTGTGTGTGTTTCATTGTCACCATATAGTTTGATGTTGTCCATACATCCATATATTCCATCATTGCTTGATATAAAGTATATACCATGTAACATATTTAATTTCCATGTTGTTTAAATTTAGCACTCCAATGTCTGCACACAGTTTAGAGATTAGTGACAGAGAAACATCTAAACAGTGATGTGAGGTGTTATTCCTCTTAAGAAGAACAGACAATATCCCAGTCGTTTTTTGTTTTGCAGAACTTCAAAAAATAATAGATGAGAAAACCAATGAGCTGGACAAGAAAACAGAGGAGCTAAAAGCAAGAAGTGCTCAACCACAAAGACGTGAGTAGAACATGATTAACAACCTTAAATTAAAAACCAAAATCACTGAATTATATGTATAGTTGAGATGGGAAGTTCTACATGCTGGAATATGATGATCAATCTTTAACCCTTGTTCTAGTTCTACAGATTATTACAATACAAACAGAGATTGAGAAACTGGCAAATGTGGCAACAACTGATGCAGATTACATAAAAATTAAAAGTGAGTGACAGAATCTTGTTTACATATGCTAAGGACCCTAGAGCAATAACAGTTTATAATATAATATTGAATAAACCATAGAAACACTGCATGTGCTCATATGGAATTCTGCGTCTCTTGTCCGCAGCACTAACAGACCACCAGAATTATCTGATTGACGGAATTCAAGATGAAAACAATGAAAATACCAAACTGAGTGAGTCGTCATCACAATGACAACAAAGTGTAATCATCATCATCATTGTTGGTCATGGTTTTACGTCCACTGAATTGATCTAATCCAGCCTTTCTTCTGTTAGTGTTTAAAATCTTGGCTCAACAAGAGGAAATAGTAAGACTGAAGAAGCAAAAAGAGGCTCAGGCACAAGCTGAATTGGAGAGAATAAAAGGTGAGAAGCTGTATGTCGTCAAGCCAAATGTACACTTCTGAATACTTGTTCATACATTTTGAAGAAATAAAACATCCTGTCTTTCTCAAAGATCTGGAGAATGAACTGGAGGACATCAGAACTCAGATAAAAGATAAGACTCTGGTGCTGGACTCCAGTGATATGAGGATTAGTAATTTGTGTAAGTGTTCTGCTCAGTTTTGGTCAGAACCCCCCCCCAGAAATATCTAATTGCATCAGAACACTAAAAAAGCTTGCTTTATCATTTTTTAGCGGCTCAGATTATGGAACTTCACAAAAAGATTAAACCACTGGAAGATGAGATATCATACCTCAAAGAAGAAAATGCTGAGAATGTCGAAGGTAAAGAACAAAATGTGACATTACATTGTAACATGCTGTGAGGTGATACATACACAGATTTAGATTTAATGATGTTGTATTTCCTTGATCTCTAAATTATTTTCAGAGCTTCAAAAGAGACTGGATTTGTCAAAGAGGCAACTGCAAGACAGTGAACTTAGACTCAAGGATGCCGATGCAGTGAATTTTAACTCGAGTATGAAAACTTCTTATTTGCTGATGTTTCGTCTCATGTTGTTCGTTTTATTTACGCACAAAGTAACACTGTGTCTGTGTCTGTGTCTGTGTCTGTGCTAGTGATGGAGATTGCTGATCTGAGGGCAAAACTGAAAGCGGCTCGTAAACTGGGGTCCAAAGTTGCTACACAAAATATTAACGGTTTGTGAATGTGTTATTTTTCTACCATGGTACTGCTGTCATCCAACACAGTATGTCTTACTGTACGTGCTAGAATATATTCTAAACTAAATCATCTGTATGTTTTGTAAAACAAACATCTAACAAACTTACTTTATCTGTAACGTTGGTTGGTTTTTCATACCGTTGTGGTCGTTTCAGAATTGGAACAACAAACACAAACCCAACAAAGAGAGAACAAAAAACTTGAAAACACAAATAAAGGTATGTCCTATACACTGCAATGTCTTAAAGAGATATTTTGACCATTTGGGAAATACCCGTGTTCGATTTGCTAGGAAAGGCTAGCCAGGCTCAGTCCAAACGTTTGTGTTTTTAGGGGGGGGTTATATGAGAAGACCTGCCCTTCCCGGCCTCTGATTGGCCTTTGTTGGTTTAGTTGGTTAAACTCAGGGTAGCCAATTAGAGGCAGAATAACGGCGGGTCTTTGTTGAATAAATAATGCCTGCCTGGAACGGAAACTTGCCAATGGTGAATGAAATGGTATCCACTTCCTGTCTCCTAAGTGGGGGCGTGGTCGCCTCTCCTCCGGCTTCAATTGGAAGTGTTGTGAAGGTCATGTGGGCTGATGAAGCAGACTGGGTTGTGCATGCATGATGTTGTCAGTAGATAACAAACTTTAATATAACTTACTAACTTATAACTGTCTCTGCCAACAGAGATATGTGTTGCCAGATCACACGAGAGTGTCGTTGGGAAGATGTTCAGCTTGCAACAAATGGGTCCTGTGTTTACTTTGGTGACTTTGGGGTGAAGGAATTGGTCATAATCTGTGCTCATGTGACACAGATACAGGAAATTATGCTTACGTGAATTATCTCCTTTCTAAATGGTCTCTGGTTAGGTTTAGGCATGAGGAGTGAGATTGGTTAGGTTAGGGTATGAACAGGGTAAGCCAATCAGTTTTTTGTTACCCCTGGACAGAGTCATGCTAGCCGTTTTCAAGTCTTTGTGCTTAGCTAAGTTAAGTTGGCTGTAGCTTCACATTTACCATACAGTTATGTGAGTTGATTTAATCTTCTCTCTTATTGCTGCCAACAAAGCCAATAAGTGTATTCCCCAAAATGTGACACTGTTCTATTAAAACTTGTTCTTTTCACTTGGTGTTTGAAACAAGCCAACATTTAAACCTCCTTTCTCTGTCAGACTTAAAGCAAGAGATCAAGGAACTGAAAATGTGCTGCAATGATGCCAACACCCAGTGTGACGGTGAGTTCCTCAATATGACCTCATTATTACTGTTCACACATAGCTGTCCTTGAGATCCAGCGAGTCATTTGATGTAATTTCTGAACTGAATATTTCATCAAAAAGATTTACAAAGACAACTGCAACAGAGCCAGGAGGATGCAGATCGCCTACAGCAGCAGCTGCATGAGAAGGATGCAAACCTCAAACAGCTGCAGCAGGAGTTAGACAAACAGACCACAGAGAATAACAACCTGCAGTATGAATACAGCAGTAAGTTCAGCTCTCTGTCCAAAGGCAAAATAAGTACATTCAGTCAGTATATATTAGAGGAAAGGCAATAGTGATTCTTGATGAAATCTATACATTTTGCTTTTCTCTCTCAATGCTAGGCCTGCAAGATGAAAAGGACAAACTTGAGAAAGATTTACAAGGTAATTATTGTGCTGTTCAGAAAAGTGCAGAGTTCACTGTGCACATCCAAAATAAACTGCACTGTTCTTTCTCTCTTCTTAGAACTTCAGGACAGAGTGGCTGATGTGGAAGATAAGACGATCCATGCCAGTGAGTCACACACACAAGAGTTCATTTCATCTCTCCCAATTTTTCAGCCTGCAGAGTCTTTGCTATTTCTATTTAATGTTGACATTTATTGATTCAAATATACAACACACACACACACACACACACACACTGTATACAACAGACTTGTTACTGTTTAAACTGTATGGATGACTGAATTTTAGACACTGTGGTCAGTTTACTGGTCAGAACCGCTCAGCCTGTCAAGTCTGCTTACCAGCCAGGGTCTAATGAAAGATGCTGTCCAGTTGCATTATGGGAAAAGCAGGATCCAGTGTTGTGAAGCTAGACCCATGCCAAGGTTTAAAAGTCAGGATATCTGAGCTTCTTCTGCTTCAACTCTGACTGTTTTTTATTTAATCTGTCTCTTGTGACTCCCCCACACTAATTCACTGCTTTAAACATTTAATGTCAATTTCCTCTCAAATTGTGATGGAAAGATCGGATATAATCTACTGCGTTTCTCTTTTTACAGAGAAGATGACCTTTGATCCAAACACAGCAAACCCAAGAATAGCTCTGTCTGCAGATAACAGTGAGATGACCACTAGTATGGAAATACTAGATGTCCCTGACCATCCAGGCCGGTTTGATGTGCTTCTCGCTGTCCTGGGCAAGACTGGCTTCTCAACGGGCAGACAATACTGGGAGGTGTCTGTAGCTGGGAAGCGTTGTTACCATATTGGGATGGCCAGTGAATCTGCTCCAAGAAAGGGAACACCATCATTCAGTCCAGCAAATGGTTACTGGACTATAGTCCTGAACAAACAGGGCCAGTACCGAGCTATTGACAGGAGACCGGCTGCAATTCCAGTTCAGACGCAGCCTCTGACACTGGGCATTCTGCTGGACTACAAAAATGGACAGATCTCTTTTTACGACGCTGGTGCCCGATCTCATATGTACTCATTTGCAGGTCAAAGGTTTACAGACAAAATCTATCCATTTGTCAATTTTTGTGTTGAGGAAGTTGGAATTCAGACTCCAATTGTGTTACTGACGCCCGGATCAGTTGATTGGATAAAATAGAGGACAGGCCAAGTTATGTTTTTTTCCTATGTGTCAAATCTTAGCCATGTATCTCATTTATAGTCATGTCAGTAGGAAATAAACAATCCCAATGCCTGCAGAATAGTTCTGTCATTACTGCTGCTGAATGTCTCAGACAATAAAAAACAAATATACAACGCTGCATTTTCTTTATTCCTTCATGTTTGAAAAAGGATTTGTCCTCTTGTCCATGTCAGTCCAGGTGTTTTAGTCACTAGGCCCAGTACAGAAACATTCAGTTAACATCTTTAGCCAGATGTTAAACCTGTTTTTTTCCAAGTTCACACCATTGTGTCACTAAATGGCAGAGCTTCACCAATGATGAAAGCATCGAGCAAAGAGTTCGGAACTTTATAAAAAAACTGGTATAATGTGTAATGCAGCCCTGGAGAAACCAGTGCGGGAAACAGAATAAAAACAGCTTATATTGAATGAACACGTCTGTTCTTACAATGAAATGGTTTACCTTCAACAATAAGTCCCATCACAGCTACACAAACATTTCTCTCAAGAGTATTATCTCAGCTCTAATACACATTTCCCACTATGTCACCTCTTTAACACATTTTGTTGTAATCATTTGCTTTTCAATCCCAATGCAAACATTGCTCAGTCTCTTCCTGCTGTGCCGGCTACACTCCTGTAAAAGTGGGCAACAAAAACTGGGTCCCGCTCCTCCAGCATGTGCAGGAAATGATTCCTCTCCTCTTCTCCCCAAGACTCAAACCACTGGGTCCACAGGCGCAGCTGGCATTCAAATATGTTTGGTAGTCCGTCTTTAACCTTGTCAGGGTACAGAAAGAGAAAGCAGCCATTAAAGGTTAGACATGACATAACACACACACACACACACACACACACACACACACACACACACACACCTGTTAGGATGTGACAGTGCAGAAAGTACCTGAAGAGTACTGAGTGAGTCTAGGAGGGTGCACACTTTCCCAGGCACAGCTTTCCCCAGAAGGTCCTGCAGGAACCGCTCCCTCTGACCGGCGGTCCAGCCCTGGAACCAGCTCAGGACGCACCGCTGCTCCTGGAGGCTTACATACGAGATGGGCTCCGGGTCTCTCACCTGCCGTGCACTCGGAGAAGAGCAAGACAGCTTCTCGAGGCTGGGAGGGCTGGCTACACCCTGTGGAGCTGATGGAAAGTCCTCCGGGCTGGGACTGGAGCAGCCGGTCCAGTATTGTGTTGCCATGGCCGGTGAGCCCTCTGTCGGACCCCTGAGCCTGGAGTGTAGAGTACTACACAGGGTGTCTGTGGCTGTGAGTCTGTGGCTGTCAGTGGGCTGCTGCTGATTTGAGCCTTGACTGACATGATTGAACCACGACATCTTTGGAAATACAGGTTTGTGTCAGCCTGAGAAAAGCCAGTTATTCCACTGCTACGAGTTAATCCGCAATGCCAGCTGCCGAGAGAGATTCCTCTGGTCTGGGTAATGTTAACATGTAGCTTAGCGTAACGTTATATGTGGACAATACTACCGTCGGAGTCAAGCGTCACAATTAACTGCTTTTAATATGAATAGTTGTAAGTACCCATCTCTTAAAAAAAAATAATAATAATCGTAAGTTACCTTATTGTCAGCATATTTAAAGTGCAGCGATGTCGAACGACAGTCGCGCTGAGTTTTCCTTACGAATATATACAGGAAGAGAATGCGGCTAATTAGCCTTGTTGTGTAGGAAATCAAGGTTGCGCAGATTTTGCGCAAAGAATGTTTTTGACAAAATAAAAATATTAAAATCGTACTTTGTGTATCATGTGTAAAATAAATACATTTAATGGTAAATACGTGGATTTTGTGTATTATTGGCTTTAATTATATCATACTGATTTGATATTTGATTAGGGGGGAAGTCGTCGACGATGACGCCGGGTGGAGGAAGGCGTTGCTCGTTGCTCTCGCTGGGAACTGACTAGAGGAACGGAAAATGGCGGATCTCGAAGACGTTACCCTGGACGGGAGACCGCTCCAGTCCCTTCGAGTAGCAGATTTAAAAGCTGCTCTTGAGGAGAGAGGACTCTCGAAAAGCGGGCATAAGAATGCTCTCATTAAAAGGCTCAAGGGGGTAAGTTGTGCTGCGATATACCGCGCCACGGTTGCTGCGAGCTAACGTTAACGATGAGACGGGCTGATGCTCTCTCGAGGGCCGACAACTGAGTATCGTTACTGCCGTGCAGCGTAGTAGAGTTGTCGAGGCTAACGACCAATAATCGCCGGAAACGTGTGTATTTGCACTGCACTGTGATTGAGCAGTGTTTTCGTTGTGTAGAAACGTACCGACCGTAGCAAGACCGTGAGTTCAATAAACTTACTGGCTAATCTCAAAGTGTGAGTCGGGTGATGTTGTCCTGTTAGCTCGTTAGCTCCCCATGCTAACGCAGTGACTTGAGCGGTGGCCTGGCTTGTTTCTGTGTTAACGGTGTCTGTCCCAAGCGCTGCTGGTGTTCAGCCGTGAGGTTAACGTTACACCGGTTATTTAGTAGCTCGACAACTTTTATCAGCTGGCTCCGTATGTCTATTTTACGTTGATGCGATGTGTTTTAATGGGCACATTTTACTGTATTCCGCCAAATTTAGGAATACTTTCGCCCCCAAATGTTTTCCTGGCCCATATGCTGCATGTACGAGCCAGTTTGTTTACATTGCGACAAGTATTTAACTTAATCTACCTCGCCTGCAAAGTTCGGCCATTCTTTGCCCTTTTTTTAAAAACTGGGTAGTCTAGTTAATTGCCATTTGTCCGCCGAATTGCGCCATGAAAGCAGCAAGTGGTGTTGACATTTGCATTTCCATGTTAAGTGTTTATTACCCCAGTGTAGCTTTGTAACTCGCCTGTGAAACCAGGACACTGTGGTATTTAGTTATAACGTTTAACACAACTTTCATAATCCCTCTTAAAATATGGACGTTTTTATAGCACAATTGTACCCACTTTAGGCCTGCGGGGCACCAACAGCAAGCCACTGACCTCAAATGGTCACATATTCATTATTATGTATCACGTGTTATTTGCAGTACTGCTTATCAGTACCCAATGTACACTGTACCATTATTAAGCATTACACTTAGTGTATTATTGTGTATGTCCTTGTGTGTGCATGCAGGGGAAAAAACTTACAAGCAGCCGAGTAGGAGGGATGCTGCATGGCTGAGTTTCAGAACTGATATAGATCAATAGATTGAGATAGATAGATTAACATCAAATTTAAAATTAAAGTTAGATCCAACAGGTTTTGCTTGCGGCGTTGCCCACAATATTCTCAGTCTGGTCTGCCTTTCACCACAGCCTGGAAGTTGATTGAACCTTGGGATTCTTGCAATGTTACTGTGAGCTATATCAAAGGCAAACTTTTTCATGCCTAAAAATATTAAGAAGGAGAGGAAGTGATGCTGAACAGTGTTAGTCCTATTAATAGTTACAAATACCTGCCTGTTACATGGAATAAATGAATGAAGTCTCTTGTCTTAATAACAGGCTCTCATGCTGGAGAATCTGCAGAGGACCTCCACTGCTCACATTGGATTGCAGCCAAACTCACAGGTAAGTGTCTCAAAGATGCTTTAATTTCAACAACTGAAGCCTCTTCACATATAATGACCTCTTAAGCATAAATGACAAATATGCATTAGCACAATCTTCATCAATGCACAAGTGTCCTTGAAGGCTTGTATCCTATATTTAATGGTCTCTCTGTATTTAGATTGGTGAGGAAATGAGCCAGAACAGCTTTATCAAGCAGTATCTAGCTAAACAACAGGAGCTCCTGAGGCAGCGTCTGGAGAGAGAGGCTCGCGAAGCATATGAAACAAATGGTAAGTGTTGTTAAAATTCCTTTGAAGTTCCATTAAAACTACTGTACACATTTTGGGTCATTATACAATACAATTGTGTAATTCTGTTTATTTGTCTTTTGTAAACAGAGCAAGAGGACCACACAGAAGTTAATAACAGTACGTCATGCCCCCCTCAAGCCCAGGTCAGACATCAATATCTTTTCTTATCTATTGCAATAGGCCAAGTTCTCTGATCATTTTTTCTGGAGATTCTCTTTGCTCCAAAAGATGTTGCACATTTGAAAAGATCTTGCTGGTAAGAATTGTGCCAGATCATTTACTTGAAAGAAAATGTGCATAGTGCTATGGTAAAATAAGTCTCACCTCCCCTTCTATCCTTATCAGGATGTCACACCAGCATTGGCTGAGCAGCCCAAGCCACCTGGCCCCTCTAGTGGAGAGGGACTGTTTGGTGCCGTGAATGAGGGAGAGGCTAACAGGAACCCGGAAGCTGATGTGTCCGGTCCTCCTGCTTCTGGCTCTGTGGCCATGCGCGTTCCTGCTGGTGAGCAGCGACCAGCGAGGGGTTCTGCATCCAATGATGTTGCCGCTGATAGCGACGATGAGGATAGCGAGGATGGAGAGGAGGATGGTGAAGATGATGATTGGGACAGTGGAGCTCGGAGGAGAAGCCTCAGAGAGCCAGCCAGAGTGCCCACAACCAGAGAGAGGTCTGGAGCATCCTGTCAACCCCAGCAGCAACACATGCCTTCCCTTTTGTCCCCTCAACTCCGCCAGCCAACACCTCCTCCCTCCCCACCTCCAGAGTTATCCTTCCCCTTGCCTGACACCCCTAAACAGAGCCCCCCTAGTCCAGATGTAGCCCCACCTAGGCGCTCACCTAGTACCTCCAGCTCTGGTTCCTCCAGCAGCGGCAGCCGCAGTAGCAGCCCAGAGCCACAGAGGAGTGGACATGCTGAGCGCAAACCCGGCCCACTGACCCTTCTGGCACGTAAGATGGCATCAGAAGGTGCTTTCTCGGGAGCAGGTTGGCACGGTGGCGATGGGGAAGGCGATAGGCAAGATAGCAGTTCTCCTTCGGCTACATCATTTCCTGGCAGAAGGCCTCCAGAGGGACTGGTATCTGCCATCACTCACACAGCCAACAGTGCAGGCCATGTGCCATTTCCCATGATGCCAGGCACCAACCAGGGTGTCACAGGAGCACATTTGGCCCATATTCAAGTACCTGTGAGTGTGCTCAAGGCCACTGCAACAGAAGACAGGGACAGAAAGAGGGATTCTGAGATAGAAAGAGAAAAGGCCCTTGAGCTGGAAAGGCAAGAGAAGCAGAGAAAATTTGAGGAAGAGCGGGAAAGAGCTCTTGAACTAGAGAGAGAGGAAAGAGAGAGAGCTCTGGAGAAGGAGAGAATTGAACGACAGCAGGCCTTAGAGAGAGAAGAACGAGAAAAGGCTTTGCAGCGTGAGAGGGAACTTGCTCTAGAACGAGAGAGGCAGGAGAGGGAACTAGCTTTGGCTAAAGAGAGGGAAGAGCGAGAGCAAGCCTTAGCGCAAGAGAGGGCCCTGGAGCTTGAGAGGCAAAAGGAGCTCGAAAGACAGAGGGCCCAGGAGCAAGAACGTCTGCAGAGAGAAAAAGAGAGGGAGAAGCGAGAGAGAGAAGAAAGGGAGAGAGCAATGGAGCTAGAAAGAGCAAAGGTTTTGGAGCAGGAAAGGAAGGAGAGAGAAAGAGCTCTTGAGCAAGAACGGTTAGAGAGGGAAAGAGTTCTGGAGGCTGAGAGAAAGGAGAGGGAGAGGATTGAGAGAGAAAGAGCTTTGGAGCAGGAAAGGTTGGAAAGGGAAAGGTTAGAGAGAGAGAAAGCCTTGGAGCAAGAAAGAATAGAGAGAGAGAAAGCCCTGGAGCAAGAGAGACTAGAAAGGGAGAGAGCCCTGGAGCAAGAGAGAGAGAAAGCCTTAGAAAGAGAGAGAATAGAAAGAGAAAAGGCTCTAGAGCAAGAAAGGCTGGAGAGGGAGAGAGCCCTAGAACAAGAGAGATTGGAGCTTGAGAGGAAGGAAAAGGAGCGAGAAAGGCTGGAGAGGGAGAGAGCCCTAGAACAAGAGAGGTTGGAGCTTGAGAGGAAGGAAAAGGAGAGAATTGAGAGAGAGAAAGCATTGGAGCAAGAGAGGATAGCGAGGGAAAAAGCCTTAGAACGAGAGAGGGAGGAAAAAGAGAGGCTGGAGAGAGAGGCTGCTCTGGAACAGGAGAGGATGGAGAAGGAAAGAGCTGAGAAGGAGAGGAAAGAGAGGCTGGAAAGGGAGAAAGCTCTAGAGCAGGAGAAACTTGAACGGGAGAGAGCCTTGGAGAAGGAGAAGGCTTTGGAGCAAGAGAGGGAGAAGGCTCTCGAATGCGAAAGGTTAGAGAAGGAGAAAGCCATGCAGAAAGAAAAAGAGGAGCAGGAGAGGGCCCTGGAAAAGGAGAAAGAGAGGGCTAGGATGGCTGAAAAGGAGAGGGAGAGTCATCTCCCTCCATCCAAACGTGGCCGTGAGATTGGTCTCACCCCTCTGCCCACTCCTCCCCCCCTCTCCACAGGACCAGGTAGAAAGTCATCGACAGATGCAGGAGAGCAGGAAGATGCCCATGCTCCAATGTCCCGGAGTGAAGCAGCAGAATCCGGTGCATCCATGTCACCAACACCTCTGTTGCCTCAGTCCTCATTCAAGAAGTTCCGGTTCTTAAGGGACCCCCCTGTTCAGCCCCAAGCTTCATCAACTTCCATGGTTATTAAGCGACCCCGTCATTTCTCTGATACCCCCCAGCCTCGGGCCAGTGTCGGGGAACGACAGCTGGAAGGACACCAGACCTCCACTGAACGGGAAGGTCCACAGAT